TCGGGAGAGCCAGAAGTGGAGGGCAGCCTTGAAGCTAATCAGGTCTGTGAACTGGGCTCTGATTTACATGCTGCTTTTTCTCTCCCTTCCCTTCAAGCTCCCATGCATCAGAGCTGGGTTATTCTTTACTTCCAGGAGAGCTGCAGGAGGGACTAGTCTCCCAAGGGTTTTCCTGACGCTTTGCTTCCTTGTAAGCCCTGTGCCTTCCCCCAATCCATCAAACAATTGGTAGCAGCCAGAGGGTGCAGTTACACCAATGCTATTGAGCTAACTATCTGGCCTTGGATTAACAGAGCATTAGCACTTTTCTTGGTCTGTCTAGATTTCTGTTAACTGTAATCACCCCAGCAGTCCCAATTCCCCAAATTGTCCACTGTCACCTGGCCCCCATCCCCATATTGCTTGTATGTCCACTACTCTGAGCCAATTCCCCACTCTTCCCACTACTCCTAAACACCTCCACAGAGCTCTATAAAATTCTCTTTTAAATGTTACCTCATCTTTTAAAAAAATTTTACTGAAACTTGTTTGTTCCTAGAGGTCCTTCTTCCTCTGTAGCCTTCTCAAGTGGACACTACTTTTCCTTCCACTCCCCACATATATCAGAGCCAGGAGGTGGGGCTGGTGTATTTTTTTTTTTTTTTCATTAGCACTTCCAAACAATTTTTCCTCCTCTATCTTTCTAAGCCTTGGGTAATCTTAACTTTACACACACCCAGATGGAAAAATCTCTCCTCTCAATGTAGTTTTCTAGGACTCTTCCATTATAGGTTATTGACGACATTGGCCTCTGTTTCATCATCTTTCTCTCTCCATCCACTCCATTCTTGTTGACTTTGTATTTAAGGGGCTAACTTATCTTACAACCTCGTTTGCCATTTCTTTAAACTTTTCACCTCCACTAACTTTTCTTCTACCCCATCTCAGCCTAGAACCTGGGCATTATAGTCATTGAATTACCTCCGAAATCCTGAATTCCAGTGTTATACTCTCTGACCACTGCTTTCAATCCTTCCAGCTCACTTACTCTAGTATACCTATTTGAATAATTCCTCAACCCCACTGAGATCTCAAATCCATTAACCTTGCTACCTTTTCACTATGCATCACCACATTCATATATTGATTTCCTTCCTTACCCAGTGTAGAGCCCATGTTACAGTAATCAACCACTTATGGATATCTTCAACTCTCTTTCTCCTCTCTCTTTGTGTCATACCACTTGGCTCAATCCCAGCCCTGGCTGAGCCCAATTATCTACTTTCTCAGAACCTGCACTGAAGCTGTTGAATGCTGCTGGATAAAAGTCATCTAACTAGGATGACTAGCTTGTCATCTATGTTGTAATGATTATAATCTTCAAGTGGACACTCATCCCTTCTTGGTAAGCCTATCACATTTCTGTAGAAAGTTTGCTTTTCTATCCCCAAGATAAATAATTCATATTTCATCCTCCTTCTTTAAATCTCTTCCACCCCTCCTCTCCTTTACTCTCTGCCCCTGACCTTGCTTTAGACTAAATTGAGAGTGTAGAAGCCATCTGATCAGAATTTTCTCATTTTCCCTCTGTGAAATCTATCAACTTACCTAGACTTAAATCTGTCTTCTCTGTTTTACATTTCTGCTCTTGCAAACAAAAATTCCTCCACTTGTGCTATGGCTCCAGTACCCCTTTCTTTTGCAAGTATTTCATTCCTTTAGTTGTTCCTTCCCCCTCCTGCTTCAGCAATCCCTACCCATCTACTGCATCATTCCCTTCAGCATAACCAGTTCTAGTGACTCTCATCCTAAAACTTCTTCCCTTGATCCCTTATCCCATTTCAATTACTGCCTCACTTCCCTACTTTATAATAAAGTCTTTATAAGTCTTTATAATAAAGACTTTATAATAAAGTCTTCTGTAAAGAGTTATATTCGGTCACCAATCTCCTGTTCATGCTCCATTCCACTTTTATCTGTGTTTGCAAGCTCACCACAGCATTGAAACTGCATTGCTCTTGTTAAGGTCACTAAGAACTCCCACATTACCAAATCTAATGGACCTGTGATCTCTTGGTGGCATTTGACATCAATGACCCTTTGCTCTCTTGGTTCCTGTAATTCCATACACTCTTGGCTCCCCTCCTCCCTCCTGACTCTCCTTCCTAAGCCTGACTTCTAAGTGTTGAAGTCAATGCTTCATCCTGTATCTTCTGATTTATCTGCCATCTCCGTGGATGATTTCATTCAGTCCCATGGTTGTAAATACTTATACCTTCCAAATTTACACCTTCAGCACAGAATGTCACTCCTGAGCACCAGATTTATTCAATTGCTATTTGATCTCTCTGCTGGGATGTCTGTTAAACATCTGAATCTTAGTAATAAAAAATATACCTTCTGATCTCTTTCCTCAAACCTATTCCTCTCCCATAATTCATTATCTCAGTAAATTCACCATCACTTGGTTGGTCAAGCCAACAGTTTAGAGGTAGTATTGCATTTCCTCTCTTCCCTTATTTCTCATGTGTGGCATCCATGAAAATGCACCTCTCAGATCTACAGTTGCAAGGAGCACTGTTGACTGATGGCCCCAGCTACTGTGCTCTGAAATCCATCACCAGGTTTTAGGCTGCATATCCCACCATCTGCTCGCAGCCAGCAACTGAGTGAGTGCACAGGGGGACTAAGGCAGGCCCATTCCTGCGAGACACAGGACTCCTCTGATTGGGAACTTTGGCTTGCAGACTCCCCACTGGCTGTGCCGAAGCTTTCTTAGAACTGCAACATCTGTACAAATCTTCCTACCCTTCCTTTCCTGTCCTCCACAGGGACTGAAACTGTTTGAAGTCTTTCCCAGTTCCCCTCAGGTGCCTGCTTATTGTTCCCTCATAAGTGTTCCCTCCACTAATCTTTTGCATGTTTTTAAACTGATATCGTTGTCTGGTTCTCAGAAGACTCTAACACATCATATTTGATCCATCAGCAAATTTTATATCATTTCTATCTCTTGCATCCATCTACTTCTCTTTATTGCCATCACCACTCAAGGAGAAACTATAACATTCTCTCCTGGATTATTGCAGCAGTCACCTACTTCCATCTCACACCTCTCAAATACATTATCACCACAGTAGTCAGAGTGATTTTTTTTTTATAGTAAATCAGTTGTGTCACTTTCCTGCTTAAAACCTCTCAATGGCTTCCCATATACTTAGAGTAAAATTTAAACTGCTACCTCAGCCACACGATGCTTTCCAGTCTGGCTCCTGCCTCTCTCTTCAACCTCATCCCATCTCACCTGTCCTGATGCTCACCAAGCTTCAGATACTAGTGTCCTTTCCATTCCTACAAATTGCCAAGTCCTTTCCTGCCTCAGGGCTTTTCCATGCTCTCCCTTCTTCCTAAAATGCCCTTCCTCCATCTCTTCAGAAGGCAGGCTCATTCTCACCCTTAGCTCTCAACTGAAATGTCCCCTCATCAGTGAGTTCTCCTCCACCCAAGCTGTCATCTCCACCCAGCATTGTCCTGACTCCTTCCTCCCAAGCAGTTATCACTATCTGTAACTAGTTTGCTTGGTGCCTGTTTCTCCCAGTTGAACAGGGGTAAGCAAATGATGGCTCAGGGACCGCTATTAGTTTTTTTATGGCCCATGATCTAAAACTGTTTTTACATATTTAAGTGTTTGAAAAAAGCCATTTTTGAAGGATTATTTCTTGACACATGGAAATTATGTGAAATCTGAATTCCAATGTCCATAAATAAAGCTGGAACACAGCAATGTTCATTTGTTTATGTTTTGTCTATGTCTGCTTTCACACTACAACCGCAGAGTTGAGTAGTTCTGTATGGCCCACAAAGCCTAAAATATTTACAGAAAAGGTTTTCTGACTGCTATAGTATTAATAGAATGTTAGGTCTATGGATCCCTATTTTTTGTCTTGTTCAGTCCTCTGCTCTCAATGCCTGCTCCATAGCTGGTGCTTGATAATTACAGGTTGAACAAACCTTTCTTCTTTCCCACGACTACTAACATCTGAGGGGGTAAGTGGACTTACCTCTCATTGGCTTATTCCCTTCTAAGATCCAGTCAGAGGAATTCGAGGCCAAATAGTATTAACTCTGAGGAAGCACTTTGAAGACAGGACTGTGTTTTATACATCTTGAGATAGCTAGCACAAGGTAGGATGCAGCTGGAAACCAAAAAGCCTCTTTCAGAGTTATCTTAAGAGAAAATTAAGTAATGCATTCAAAGGCCTAAGCACAGGGTCAGGTGTGCAAAAGTGTTTAACAAATGCTTGCTCCCACCTCAATTTTCCTTGCTGTAATGGAAATTAAAATGTTACCCTTTATAGAACTGTCACACAGACTGAATTAAACAAGAATGCTGCATGTGGAAAAGCTTTGGGAACTGCAGACACTTTCCACATGGATATATCCAACTGCAATATAGTTACACACCTTGGCGTTGAGCAACTCTGTTTAGAAGGATGGGCCCTGACCTGGGGATGAGAACATCTAACATCCTAATTCTTGTCATTATCTAGTGACGCTGGACAATCGCAACTTCTGTGGCCTGTTTGTTTTCTTCATCTGTAAAAGCAGCCTCTGAACCCACGAGACCACCCCGGGGTCTGGCGCCGGCCCTCTCTGCGGGATCTTTCCTGGTTGTTCCGCCCCCCGCCCCCCAGCCAATCCCGAGGCGGCCCGGGGACGGGGCCAGCGCTGGGCGTGGCGCGGAGTGCCCGGGGCGTGGCCTCCCTTCCTCCGCCGCGCCGCGCCGGCCGCACGGGGGCGCCGCTGGGGCCGGCCTGTGCCACGAGTTGCCCGGCAGCCGAGGAGCTGCTCACTTCCGCGTCGGCCCTGCGGCGTCCGGCGGCCGCGCTGAGGGCCGGGCGGGCCGCAGGTCAGTCGGGGGGGCCGCCGCCCCGCCCCGCCGGCGCGGAAGAGCGGGCGCCGGTGGGCCGCGGGCCCGGGAGGCGGCGGGGCGCCCGGAGGAAGGGGCAGGGCCGCGCTGATCCACGGGCGCCCCGGGCTGCAGGCTCGGGCTCTGGGCCGAGTCCGGGTCCCCGGGCCGCGGGAGACCTCAGCAGGGCTTTCCATCTCCTCAGCTCCTCCCCGTTCTTCCTGCTTCGGAGGAGGCGTGTGAGCCCCTTGAGCAGTGTTGCTCCAAGTGGGGTTCGCGGGCGGATCCCGACCCCTCCTCAGAGTTTTTGAACCAGATTCTCGGTGCTGTGGCCTGGGTGTCTGCATTTTCCTGAGCGCCCCTGATGGTTTTGATGCAGGTGGTCATAGGACCGCGCTTTGGGGGATACTGCACCTGAGGGCCTGGCGCCTACCACGTAACAGGGGGCCTAAGTGGGTGCATTTGAGGGTGGAGCCTGAGGAGTGCCACCACAGGTCTGGCCTTGGAACGGTGATGCCCCTCTGCCTTAGGAGAGACTGAGTGGGAAACGGGAAGGAGTAGCTCTTAAATCCTTGGAATGGGGTGCTGCTGTGTTCCTGTAGCCTCCAAGTCTCAGATGGTCAGATGCTTAGTGAAGGGCCTGGGTCAGGAGCCATAGTGGTGAAACAGGGCCGAAGGAGGCAGTGTGGGGTGAGCAGGAAGAACTTGGCGTTGATCCTGCTGATGTGGATTGGGGTTGGCTCCACCACCTGCTAGCAGGCAGCCAAGTGTGGTCGCTCTACAGATCCCTCTATTTTTTACCCTAGTGTCGTCATCTGTCAACAGGGACAGTAATTCCTATCCAGTAGGGCTTTTGTGTGAATTAGATAATGTCTGTCAAGTGTCTCTTACAGTGTCTGATACAGAGTGAGCATTCAGTAAATGGGAATTATTAAGAGGTACACAGGCCCTGCCTTCTGTGGCTTACAGATCAAAAAGTAGGGATTAAACAAGTGGGATAAAATGTGGACAGAAATACAAAGTACTTTTGGTAGACTTGTGCAAGGAGTCTACCTGGGAGTGGGGTGGGGTACTTGGGAAGGTCATGCAAGAAGTGAGGTTTGCTCAGGGCATTGAAGGATAGATAGTACTGCAGGGAGCTGGTAATTGGGGCCATATGCCTCAGAGGTAGTTCTCTCACATGGATCTTTGGAGTGTGGCTCCCAGGACTTCTAGGCATTGCAAGAAGTCACATTGATAAGTAGTTTTGGAGGGCTGGCCCTTTGGTCCATAAATCGTTTTTGTCCACTGACTGTGTTCTAGACACATGGTCTTCCCCAGATTCTATGGTCCGCTTCTCCCATTTTATTGGAGATTGGCTAAATTGCAATATCTACAAAAGGATCTTAGTTGATCACTGAATAAGAGTGAGTTGACATGGATGTTTTCAGCCTTCTTCTGGCAGTCATTTTAAACTTGCTGTGAAATGTGTAAATAACTGCGGAGTCTCAATATTGGGAATACCTTTTTCATCACAGTATTTCGGGTTCCATAGAAATGCCACAGTATCACCTGTGGTTCAGCAATCTCCAGAATGGAGTAAGAAATCAAATCCCTAAAACTTCGCCATAGCTATAGCCATTTTAGAGTGAAGAAGCCAGATGATTTGGAGGTGTTATTTGTAGTTCTAGACCATCCTGGCTACTGGTACACATAGAATTCTAATCTCAGTTGATAAATTATATATTCCTTAATTACCTAACTTAAGAATTACAATTATCATTGTTAATAATTTCTGCTCTTTTGTTTCTTTAAATCTCCAGAGTCAATATCAAGTTCCTTAGTATACACCTAATGGTAAAATTTATATCATTATACGTAACATTTATCATTTATTGAATACTTACTCTGAGCCAGAGGCTATTCTAAATGCTTTTTATATGTTCTGTTAATTATTCCTCTGATAGTCCTTTTGAGATAGGCACCATTGCTGCCTCCATTTTATGGATGAGGAAGCAAGAAGAGGAAGAGTAACTGCCCAAGGTCCCAGAGCTAGTCAGTGAGGAAGCTCAGCAGCTCAACTGCATGCTGTCCCCTGCCCTCCTCTGCAGTCTGGATGGCTCTCTCAGACTGACCGTAGTTAAAAAGATATGCGAATGCTGAAGAACATAAGCACGCCTTTGCTTGATATGTGACAGACCACGCCTTGTCATGTTTAATTCTTTCAATAGTCATTTCAGCAGCTAGGATTGTGTTCATTGTAGTTTGTTATCTTTTACAAATCTTCTGAGGCAATGTTTTCCAACTTAGCATATCTAGTTATTTTTATTTATCAAATTCATATTGTATAAAATCCTTCAATTCCATATTTTCAGTACTGAGGAATTTATTTTAATCACATTATAATGTACTTATTATCTATTTCATGTGTTGTTGGAAATGTCAGGGACGATTGTCCTTTGTTCTTTCAGAGGGGGACTGGGACCACCATTGTTTTGAAGTTTCTGAAAGTGTTGTTTGGCTAACATTCAGGTGTCTGGGGAAGCAATGGAAGGCCACAAGGCAGAAGAGGTGCTAGATATTCTTCGACTGAACGTGGGTGGCTGTATTTACACAGCCCGGCGTGAGTCCTTGTGCCGCTTTAAAGACTCTATGTTGGCGTCTATGTTCAGTGGTCGCTTTCCTCTAAAAACAGATGAGTCAGGTAAATGTCTAAAGTCTGGAAGCATGATCGTGAATATTCATTAACATAGGAGTCCAGTTTAAATTCCTTTTGATTTTTCTAATTACAAAAGAACATACTAGATTAATATACTAATCACTGAGATCATTAGGACTGTATGGAGATTCATTACTACATGGAGAGATTAAATACCAGTCTTGAAAACCTGTGATACTGTTGCTAAAAGTTCACAAAGCAGGGAGAGTGCATAAAGGCAGTCATGACCTAATTATGGGGATTAACTATATTTTGAAAGTCGATACTGTCATGTGGCTTCACAGGTGAAAGTATTGAGGCTGATTAAATAGATGAGCTTCTCTCTGTGTTCTTCAAGGTAGAAAATGTATTTCTCTGGACAAAGCAGCTGTCTGTATACTTGACAGAGCAGTTGTCATCAGTGTAGAATTAGTGTTATACTTGCCACTTGGCCTAGCTGTGTAGTCTTGTTGTGTGGGCTGACATGCACGGCTCAGAAAATGTCAGTGCAATGATCCCATTAGCCCCTCAGTGGCAGAAAACCAAGCATTGGTGTTTCAGAAGAAACTGTAAGTCATGTGGGTAGGGTTCTGGGTCTGCTCTCTGCTTCAAGTGCTCTGGGACTCACTGAACCTGCTACTGGTTGTAAAGAAACTTCATCAACACAAGTGAGGCTTTTTGCACTATCTGTGAGCCCCAGAGCCCACTCTTGGTTTTGTGTTAGAAGAATTGGGGAGTCTTGAACATAGGGGGCTGTTCTGTTAATAACCCCAATGTTGGGATATTGCTTTGCCAGCTAAATGGTGGTTGAAAGAATGGAAAAATCACCGATGGCTGGTGCCCAGGGTTTGATGCCACCTGGGCAGAAAGGAAGGTTTGTTGGGGAAAAGATAGTAAGCAGCGATTGAGTTTTCTTTTACCTTCTCTTCCCTTTTCTAAGCTAATCAAGGAAGAAAAGGAATGATTGAGTAACCCTATGCAGAAGGTTTTTAAAAAAATTCTCTAAGACAAATCTTTTATTATAGAGTAGTACCAGCATAGTCTTTCTTCTTTTTTAGTATAAAGGAACTAACACAACAATTTCAAACATGGCATGCCTGCACATAGGAACCCCAGGCTACGGTGTTGCTGATTTGCAAACACTGGACAGAGTGATGAGCACCCCACATGCCCTCCTTAGTGAGCAATTCCTATGCCTGTCCTGGTCCAGCTGGGCTGAGGTTAGGGGTAAGCTTCTGTTTCTATATGCAGTCTGGGGTCCTTGGCTTTTGCAGTGGCCAAGGAATACAGTCATTGCATCTAAAGTTCCAAATGGATCTCAGAATATATTTTCCTACATGGTGGGTGAGAATATAAAGGTCCACCACTAATTAATACAATGTCTTTGTGCAAATTTGAAAAGGATGCCCTTTTATCCAGGAAGATGCAGTTCCATGCCAGGGTTCATGGCTTGGTGCACAGAGCACGGGCTTGAGTTCAGCCTCACTCATCCCCTTGGCCTGGCACTGGTACACACAGTACACCCACACAGCCACACATGGAGGCCCTGGTGATACATGTTTGCATTCAGACTTACATGCATTGTTATAGAAATGCAGGTGGTCTCCCCACACAGCTCACTCAAATTCAGCTTGTGGATTTGTAAGCTGAGGGTTGCTGGTATATCATATCTGCCCTTTGAATGAAGGAACTAAAAGTCTGGCTTAGTTAGATTAATTGAACCTCTTTGAACACTAGATATTAACCTTCTTGTGAGAAAGAAGTATTTCTAATTGTAGAGGTCCTCAGACCTAGTTTGAGTTGTTGAAATTTTATTGATTGTCATATGAATCTTTGTAATCATTTTTGAACTGAATGTTTTCTAGGGGCTTGTGTTATTGACCGTGATGGACATCTATTTAAATACCTTTTGGATTATCTTCATGGAGAAGTTCAGATTCCTACAGATGAGCAAACTCGTGTGGCCCTACAGGAAGAGGCTGATTATTTTGGCATCCCTTATCCGTATAGCCTGTCTGACCACTTGGCCAATGAAATGGAGACATATTCTTTAAGGTCAAATATAGAACTTAAAAAGGTCTTGGCATTTTCTTAAGTTTTAAAATATATACATATTTATGATGCACAAAGCAGTATTATTTTGCATAACTGTGTTGTCATATAAACCAAACAGTTTTTGTAATTTTTGATGACATGTTTCTTAATTACTACTACTCATTTTTTTAATGCCAAAGTTCTAGGAAAGTATATTACATTGCCTTTCAAAGGGTTATTGAGCTTATATTCCTCATTAAAGTTTTAACATTTTTTGATTTTTTTAAATAGAATTGTTCTTTGAGTTCTTTTTTTTTTTTTTTTTTGAGACAGTCTCACTTTGTTGCCCAGGCTAGAGTGAGTGCTATGGCGTCCGCCTAGCTCATAGCAACCTCAAACTCCTGGGCTCAAGCAATCCTGCTGCCTCAGCCTGCCGAGTAGCTGGGACTACAGGCATGCGCCACCATGCCCAGCTGATTTTTTCTATATATTTTTAGTTGGCCAATTAATTTCTTTCTATTTATAGTAGAGACGGGGTCTCGCTCTTGCTCAGGTTAGTTTCGAACTCCTGAGCTCAAACGATCCGCCTGCCTCGGCCTCCCAGAGTGCTAGGATTACAGGTGTGAGCCACCGCGCCCGGCCATGAGTTCTTTTTAAATTAAGAGAAATATTATACTATGTGAGGATACAGGATATCATGTTGTTTACTAAAATGATTTTTTAAAAGAATGGTCATGATAAATAACAAAATATCTTACTTGATTTAGTGAATATAGCAGTTTGTTACTAAATTAAAAGATCAGTTTGATTAATTCACTTTGAGATCAGTAAATTTTTTTAACAATGCTTGTATTTTAAATCACATTTGAAAAATCTGTACATGACTTGAAAAGCTTCATTATTTGTGTTTGTCTTATTGAAAGTATTCTATCTTCTGTTAGCACCTTTGCACATCTAAGGAAAGTATTTTTCCTAGAGAACTCAGCACAGAGTAAGAACTTAATATTCAAGTGAGTGAATGACTGAGTGGCTAAATGCCAAATGAGTTCAGACAGTATATATTGAGTTCATATATTCATATTGTTCAGTGCAAAAGAACAAGTTAATCTGGTTAATCCAAGATTGAAATTTGGAGTTAAAAATAAGGATCAGCCATGGGGTAGTAAGTAGAAGATAAAAGGAAGATTAAGTCAAATGGGAAATATGGGGGGAAATATTCTAAAGGGAAAAGAAAAAGGTCTAACTTTTAAATATTATATGAAGATTATAAAATTAAAAGTGATGTTGGCAGGCTAAAAGAGGAGGAAATAAAATGGAATTTCCATGTGGAAAAGGATTCTCTAGATGAAAAGGTGTTGGAGTTTGGGTAGTACTTTTGTGATTATCTTCTCTTCCAATTAATTAAAAAATGAATATTTGGTTTTTAAAGGCATAAAGACTAAGCTGAAATTTATAATCTTTTTATTTCCCTTATGACCGACTGAAATTATAGCTGTACATGAAGGTAATACAACAAATTCATTTTTATTTTATTCTGGAATTAAATTCAAATTTTATATATATTTTTGCTTCAGGCTTTAACAGACTTCTGTGATTCATATGGTTTGGTTTGCAATAAACCAACAGTTTGGGTTCTCCACTATCTTAACACATCTGGTGCAAGCTGCGAGAGTAGAATTATTGGTGTATATGCCACCAAAACTGATGGAACAGATGCTATTGATAAGCAGCTGGGAGGAAGAATTCACAGTAAAAGCATTTTTAAAAGGTATGTCCACATTTAAATATAAAAAGGAACAAAATAAAATCTTGATCTCTTCTGAGAGGTTTTACTTCATGGAATATTGTGCTTGACTAGAAAAGACCATCATCAGTACCTCTCAGTAGACAGGGTAGTAGACAGAGGGTAGTAGACAGTAGCTGTTGAGATAGGCCTCTTTCATGAGATTATAATTAAGACCATTTCACATACAGTAAATTTAAGCTACAGGCCATCTATATGATTTAGTATAGTGGTTCTCAACCGGGAGAGTGCATCAGAGTCCCCTGAGAGGCTTTAACAAAAAGAAAAGGAAAGCCACATGCCTGGTATCCTCTGTAGACCGTAAACACACTGGCCTAGGGGTCAGCAAGCCCATTGGGTGACCCATAGCCAGCCTGTACCTTGGTGCCCTCTTCTGAGAAATGATGAAGTTCCCTGGTCCCTTTAGAATTCTGTGACTCAAACATGTTAAATTCTTGAGGGTTATTTTCTTAATATTTTCCCTAAAATCTTGTATTTACACTGGTCAATTCACTTAGCAAACTTTTTAAAAAAAATTCTTTGGGAGACTGGATTGGGTTGCATATTAGTGACTAAGGCATGACCATTGCTTTTTAGATGATGAAGTATGTCATCAGCTTCTGAGCTCTTTATAGAGAGGGATGCTTCTATATAAGATGTGTAGGTGCCTGATACAATGCTAAAAAAGTTTTAGTCAAGTTGAATCTTTTCTAATCTTTTCTATTGTAGTTGGCTGATTTTTTTAAAAACCTTGATTTTAAAGATGTGTTGATTTGTCTACATGGTCTATATTGTGGAATTAACAAATGCTTTACCACAATAAAGAGATCAAATGTAGGTTAGTATATGATACAGTGTGTATATGTATATTAACATATGTGTATGTATATGCGTAAGGGTCACAAAACAACTACTCAATACCTACATATTTTTTTCCTTAATTATCAAGCACTTACTGAGTGTCTGTAAGGTGTGTATATGTACACACATTCACACCTGGATAGTGTATTTTCATTACTTTTTGCAATATTTCTAGAGAGGCGGGAAATAACGTTCAGTACATATGGAGCTATTATTCAGTAGCAGAGTTGAAGAAAATGATGGATGCCTTTGATGCTTGGGAAGGAAAAGGTACAGTGCAATTCCTTCATTTCATGGAAGCAGGTGGACCCCTCTAATAAGACAAAGTAAGCTCAAATACTGCATTTCGTTTTTGAAAAAGTATTTTTGCAAGCGTGTCAAGGTATTTGTCATCTCATGGTAACATTGAGGCAGTTTACTTACAAAGAGTTGCTAGATATTATTAGTAGTTTATAATTCAGTAACCTCAAATATGCTCTGTTAGTTATGCTTATTGAGTTCAGTTAAATAATTTAGTACCTATTATGCATTGTTCTAAGACTATTTTAAATTACGCAGAAAATATATAATCAAGAAAAGGAAGAGAAAACAAAAATAATGCTGGAAAGATGTCTAACGAGTCCTTATAAAGCAATTAAAATAATCTTTAAATGCACAGTTTGAAAATTGATCATTTTTATTAAGCTTCTTAGTAAGAGTTTGTAATAATGATGCTGTTTAATACCCAGTGTGATAAAGTGGTTTACATTCAGTATCTTTTAGTCCTAACACAGTCCTATGTGCTATTTACCATTCCTATTTTATAGATGAGGAAACTGAGTGTGAGAAAGGCCATGCCACTTGCTTAAGTATTACAGAGGGTTAGCTGTTCTATGCCTAAGTATTTTTTTTCTTAATTAACAAGCATGTATTACATGCCTATTAGGGGCAAAGTACTATAAGAAGTCCTAAAATTGGGCCCAAAGATAAATAAGACACACCCCATCCTCAGATGATCGTAAAAGCTAGTAAAGACAGACTTCCAGTCACATAAGAATGAGTAAAAGGAGAGGAAGCAGCTTTTAAAAGCTCTGCACTGGCTGTTCTTCCTTCAAGCAGTGCTAGCACCAGCCCTATTTCCACTCCTTGATTTTGCTCCCTTCACTTTTCCTCCTTTTTTCTTTTCTAATCATACTCCTCAAGCAGGCAGGATGATGTCTTTAGGCTTATTATTTTAGATTTCATTTACTTTGAGGCACTTATACTCAAGTTGAAGAACAAACCCTGTGGTGTTCTCTGTGTCTCCGTTTGTGCCTCTGGAGGCTTTGGGAGAGGCTTCTTCCTCTCCTGACTTAGAAAGCTGAAGCAGGAAACTGGGATTGCTAACTTTTTATAAAGCATGCAGCTGATTTTAACTTTTTACAAAGCATCATTGTAATTTAATGAAGTTCTGGAAGGCCTGTGGAAATCCATAAGACAGGAAACAGAAGCGGAAAAAACTGTCAGAAGGGAAAAGACAGTCTTGTTGTTTGTAGACAATGTCTTCTTAGAAAACCCAAAAGAATAAATTAAAAGTATTTTATGTGCTAAGTTTAGTAGACTAAACCAGCTAGATAGAATGTAAGTAGACACAGAGCAGCAGCTTACCTATGATAAATTAATTAGAAATTATAGGGGAAAATCCCATTCATAATAGCAATAAACAGAACATAAAATAACTGTGCTTCAGATTACCCAAGAAATGCTTGGGTCTTTTATGAAGAAAACTTCTAAAATGTATTTATCTATCTGTCTGTCCATCCATACATCCAGCTATAAAAAAGACCTGAGGATAGTGGTGAGACATACTGTGACCCTGAATGGGAAATCTAAATATTATAAAGATATCATTTCTTCTCAGATTAAATTATGAGTCTATCAGAATATTAGTGGAACTCTTTGGGAATGTTGAAGAAATGATTCTAAAATTCCTCTGAAAGAAAAAACAGGTAAAATAAGCAAGAACTTTTTGGGAAGTAAGAAGTAATTAGGGGGATGTATCTAACTGATAGAAAACAGGCTGTAGACCTGATAGTAAAAAATATGTGTTTCTGGTGTATGAATAGAGCAGAGACCAACGGTAAACTCTAATAAAGTTGTAAGCATAAAAATACTATGTGATAAAAAAGGATTATATATTAGTAAAAAAAGGATAGATCATTTAATAAATAAGTGAGAAATCTGCTTGGGAGGAAAAACGAAACTTTAACCTCAAATCATTTATCAAAATAACCTTAGGTGGATTTATGAATAAAAAAAGAAGCTATAATAAACTAAGAGAAAATGTAAGCAAATAACTTATTTCTTCATAGGGAGAGAAATTATAAGTTCAAAATAAATCGTAAATACAAATTTATCAATGTGGTTACATAGTATTTAACAAATTAACTTTAAAACAAAAAATTATAAATAAAAGACTAATAAAAAACTAGGATAAATAATGTTACATTAACTGGACAAAGAATATCCTTAACATAGAGTTTATTTAAATTGATTAGAACACCAACTCAACCCCTACTACCAGAAAGTACAAGGTTCATGACCATAAAATTCCCTGAAAAAGAAATAAACCTGTAGCAAGAGGTCCAGTCTCATTATTTATCAATTAAATATATATTAAGTTCAAACTATTTTTTTACATCAGATTAGTAAAGATCTCTCATGCATTCTTGGCAGGAAGAAAAATTTATCTAACTTCTTTGCAAAATAACTTGTCAGGTCACATCTTTGATCCGGTAATTCTTTAGGAATCTATTAAGAACATAATCAAATGCAGACAAAGGCTTATGAACAGAGATGTTTTATTAGGCATTATTCATAATAGGGACAAAACAAAAACAATTTAAATGTCTAATGATTGAGGGTTAAACACATTTTGGCACATCCATGGGATAGAATATGATAAAACTATTACTTTTATTTTGAATAGCTTGTGTGTGTGTGTGTGTGTGTGTGTGGTTAGAGACAGGGTCTTGCTCTGTCACCTGGGCTGGAGTTCAGTGGTATGATCATAGCTCACTGCAGCCTCAAACTCTTGGGCTCAAGTGATCCTCCTGCCTCAGCCTCCTGAGTAGCTAGGACTACAGGCACGATCCACTGTGCCCCACTAATTTTTTTATTTTTTGTAAAAACGGGGTCTCGCTATGTTGATCAAGCTGGTCTTGAACTCCTGGCCACATGTGATCTTCCTGCCTTAGCCTCCCAAAGTGTTGGGATTACAGGTGTAAGCCACTGTGCACAGCCCTTGAATAACTTTTATATAGATGAATGCCAATGATAGAATAAGAATAAGACGTTAACATGCTAAGGCCCCTCACATGTGGTGCCCTGTGCTGCCTCTGGACTCCACAGAGAATCCCCACCAGCAAAAAGGCCCTCATGAGATGTGCCCCCTTGACCTTGGACATTTCAGCTTCTAGAATTATAAGAAATTTCGTTATAAAATACTGAGTTTCAGGAATTCTGTTATAAGTAACAGAAAATAAACTAAGGCACTGAGTTACTGTACTTTCATAAAAATAATTTAATTTTATCAGTAGATATATAAATATAAATTATTATGTAATATAAAATAACCATGATGATAACAATAATAGTAATCTAGAAAATAGTCCTTCATAAGACCCCACATTGTCTGCTTAATACTTTTTCTGAAAATTTCTTGGGGAATTGCCTCAGAATTAAATTAGAAATATTGGAGAAAGAAAAATTAAGAAATATTAGCAGTGAAAGTTTAGTAGTAATATGATAAGATGCAGAGGTTTAAAATTGCAGAAGAAATATTAACAGATCAAAAGTAGTCAATGATAAAATAAAAATTATATTCAATTGGAATAAAATAACTTACATTAGCTAACCATAAAATATAAATCATTAAGTTTTAATTTTTTTTTTCGTTGTAAAACTAATTTTTAAATTGTGTAGCCAATATGTGTAGCCAATATAGAAAATACATGGGATGAAAAACATGCACCAAGAATAATGGTGGCTAAGTGTGCAAATAAACTCCAAAATCTATTAGGCTCACCAAGGGATAACCCTGTAGCTCCCAACAACATTGTTTGAATTTTCTGCCAGAAGACCAGATGCTGGACTATTTAAAAAATAAATAAGGTCCCTTGAATTAGTCTGTGGCCTATGACATCTGTTTTCAAATGTGGAATAAAGCAATATCTATAGTAAGAATTAATACACATGTTTGTAAAAGCAAAAGCTTTGCAAAAAAAAAGAGATAATGCACGCTTGGGGACGTGTGTGTTTATAAAATCTATTGCACAATAACTCATAATTGCATAGTTCTTTTTACTTTTCAGTAGAATTTTCAATGTAATACTCTAAAACCAGTAAGTTTTATTATGACTATTATTCTGCCTTCATTTTACAGATTAAAAAAGTTGATGTCAGAAAAGATAATTAACCAGTGACACCTAACTATAAATGTTTTAGAACCAAGGAGGCATCAAACTGAAAGTTAATAGATTCTAATTTATTTTGGCGATTACAAGATATGCCCTCCACTGGAAGCTTTCTTCAGCTCTATTCAGAATTTGGTAAAAAAGGCAAAGTTAAGTCAGAAGATGACTCTTGGCTCATATATTTTATCCAAGCCTGCGCATTACTGAAGTAGTAAAAAGCCTCATTGCTGACCATTTTTATTTCATGGATATGAGATAATCTGATTTACAGAGTAATGGTGTTTAGATTTGGTAATTTCCATGATGGTTTAGATTTCCATGATATCATTTTACCATGGCTACATAGATTAAAATACAATTAGAAAATAGTTGATCACAGACAAGTATATCCATTTTCCAAATGTATTTCTGTAGGAAATTTCTTTTTACAATTTATAATTTGCTTTTATTCTATATAACTGAAAAAAGAATAATTTAATAAACTTATACCAATGATAAAAAGCAGGAAACAAAATTAAATGTAAAATGTTTTCTATTATGTACATGTCAGAGGAATAGAAAAAAAATATATCAATCTGTCCTGAGCCATGATTCCTGGTCTTCAGATTAGGAACAATTTTGATTTTCTTACATATACTTTTCTATAATTTCCAGATTTTTTTTACAATGAACATGAATTACTTTATAGGCAGGAATAAAAAAGAAATTTATTTAAACAAGTTGCAGTGTATCCATACAATGGAATACCCCTCATCAATGAAGCAAATGATCATTGATGCATAGGTCAACATGGATGAATCTTTAAAGCATCGTGCTAAAGAAGTCAGACACAAAAGGCTATATATTGTATGATTCCATATATGTGATATTTTAGAAAAGGCAAAACTAGAGATGGAGGGGAAGGCATTGATTGCAAAGAGGTATGAGGGAACTTTTGGGGGTGATAGAAATGGTCTATATCTTGATTGTGGCTATTGGTACATGACTATATATAATACATTGAACTATGTACCTGAAAGGGGTGAATTTTATTTTATGTAAATTATATGTTAACAAACCTGACTTTTTAAAATGGCAAACTTAATGGACCATATTTGAGAATATTTTTATAGCATGTGTAGGTTTTGGAACATGATCTAGTAGTTCCAGAAAGTTATTGTCTTAAAATGAGGTTCATAGAGTTTTTTGAGCATTGAACATATCTATTATAGATAATAATTTCCATGCCCAGCTTGCTAAATTGGTTATTTTACCAGAACTTAAATGATAAAGACACCAAATCCATTCTTGGGACTTATAAGATTACTCTTTATTTCTTTTAACACCAAACAATTTTCATTCAACAGAATTGTTTGAGCTTTTTTTTAGGTATCTCTATATATGATATTTATGGTTTTATTAAAAAAATTGAGGTGAAATTCACATAACATGGAATTAACTAGTTTAAAGAATATGTTTCAGTGGCATTTACTACATTCAAAAAGTTGTGCCACCATTGTCTCTGTCTAGTTGCAAAACATTTTCATCACCCCAGAAGGAACCCCCCATTCCCCATTAAGCTGTTACTTCCCACTTCCCACTCTCCTGCAGCCCCTGGTGACCACCTGTCTGCTTTCTGTTTCAATGGATTTACCTTCTCTGGATATTTCATATAAATGGATTAATATAATATATGACATTTTCTGTTTGGCTTCTTTCACTTAGAATAATGTTCTTGAGGCTTATAAGAATATATTTTTCAGCTTTCAGTCAGAAACATCAGATTTAAAAATTACAATGAATTTGACTGGGATTTTGGCCTAACACAGTAGCTTAGATTATTCTTGTTTGAAAAAGTGCTTACAGGATAGAGATATCTCATGTTTGCATAGTGGTTGCCGTTGCACAGAGTGGTTCATTCACCAGGTTTCCCTGATTTGATGGTCACAGCAACCCAGTGAAGTAGACAGGGCAAGTGTGCAGTGCTGATGCTGCTCCCTACGCTGCCACTGATGATAAAGGCACCAACGTTTTTTGATTGCTTAGTCTGTGCCAGACCCTGTTCTAAGTGCTTAGCATTTATTAACTCATTTAATCATCACAACAGTCCTGGGAGGTACATACTGTCATTGTCGTCATTTCACAGATAAGAAAATTTAGGCCCAGAAATAACTTTCCCAAGGTCGAATGCTTAGTAAGAGTCATAGATTGAGACCCAGACAGTCTCAGCTGGTGTTGTGCACACCTCCCTCGTCAAATGGGAGGCATGAACCTCACTCTCTTTCTGGCCAGTCTTATATGAAACAGTGTTGCTTAACATTGTCCAGTGGACAGTGGCTCCCCTAAGTAAGTCTTTTTATCTTGCAGGGGTCAGCTACTGGCGGGTGCCTCATGAGCTGATAGAGTGCTGGACTCTGGAAGAGCGGCCTTTACTTGGAAGCCTGCGTCACATGGCTCCGATTCGAAAGAGGTCACCTGTGCTCTGTTGACTACTTGTTTTGTTTTGGTTTTGACCCATATTTTTACTGCCTTTATGAAGGGAAAGTGCATAATAATAGCTCTTGACCTCACTAAGCTTATTTATCACCTAGATAAATATTCTGTCTTACCATCAACATACAGATCTTGATAAATACAAAGTTACCACAGCTATGTAAAAAGTGGGAATAATTCTCTAAAACTGCATGTGTTGTACGTTCTTATTGGGAAAGTGTGATTTTAAAAATACAAGTGGACACCGTGGGAATGCTGTGGTAAGTTTTTTTTCCCCACAAAAGTGAAATCCCAGGCTTTATTGGCAGTAGTCAAAAAATCTATTTAGATGTAATACTTGAAATTTCTTACAGCTTTTTCTGAATTCCTTTCTCTTTCCTATTGCCACAAATAGCATTTTTATTTAATAGGTTCTTTTTGGTTCCATGAAATTATTAGCATTAAATTCCTCCACGTTTGTGTCTTTCACTGTATTTTACATACACTTAAAATCGTATTTCTGTTGGGTGTGGTGGCTCATGCCTGTAATCCCAGCAATTTGGGTACCTGAGGTGGGAGGATCACTTGAACCCAGAAGTTCCAGACCAGCCCCAGCATGACACTCCATCTCTACAAACCGGAAAAACGTTAGCCAAGTGTGGTGGCGCATGCCTGTAGACCCAGTGATTCTGGAGGCTGAGGCAGGAGGATCACTTGAGCCTAGAAGTTTGAGGCTGCACTGAACTATGATTGTACCAATGCGCTCCAGGCTGGGTAACAAAGTGAGACCCTATCTCTAAAAATAAATTAATTAATTAAAATTTAAAATATTTTTAAAAATCATATTTCTTTTATGATATCTCTGTTTTATTCATGGCCTTCAGATGTTCTGATTTCTTGATCACCTAAAATTTGATTCAGTGCCCCTATGGAATTTCAGACCACTTTCTTACTTTTCCCCTTTGGATCTTTCACTGAAATGTAGAGAGGCTTACTCAGTTTTTAGTAGTTAATCATCTCTTGTCAAAACACATCTTATTTTTTATAGGCCATAATTTTATTATTATTTATTTTGCCTTTTGAACCTAAAGTTAGCAAATATTATTTGAGTCAAGAGCAGTAGTTCTCAGCAGGGGGTGATTTTGCCTCCAAGTGGATATTTGATAATGTTTGGAGACACTTAGTTGTCACACTGTGGGAGGGCTGGTGAGGAGGAAGCTACTGTCATTTAGTGGATAGAGGCCAGGGATGCTACTAAACATCCTGGAACACACAACAAAGAATTATGTGACCAGTATGGTAATAGTGCCTAAGTTTAGAAACTTCAGTATAAATTCTGAAATTTAGAAGTAGAAGATGTAGACAGAAAGCAGCAGGCGGGAGTGACTGGAGACTCTCCTCTGTGTTAGTTTTCTCTCTGGGATTTTAGGAAGCATCATTTTTGATGCATTGACAGGATAATGATGATGATGATGGCTGAGAAGCACTTGTGAGGTCCCGAGGAGCCATCTGACTCACCAGAGAAAGTGTTCAGTAGAGTTTTAGGGTTGAACATACTATCTTTGCATTCTTTGCTGTATATGGCAGTTTTCAGATAACCACGCCATTATGATTCCATTTGCAAGAATGGGAGTTCACTATGTTATAATTGCCTCCAACAACACGCCCATGTCGTGTGGCCCTTCGAAGGAGTGGACTTGGAGGATCGCCGTCATCCTTGATGTTCAAGGGCGTGGGCCTCAGGAAGTGAAGCTGGTCGAAGTAAGGGAAGGAACAGGCAGGGTTTCAATGATCATTGTTTGACAGTTTTAAGGTCATTTTAAAAACGTTCACCTTTTAGGCTTTTTATAATGAATGGTAAACTCAGTTTAGCAATCTTTGGAGGATTGTCTAATACTTCTCAAATTCAAAACACATCCAGCCGCATCATGGCTTCGAACATTCTAGCAGTCCCCAAAAAGTCCAAAGAATGCAGACTTTACTGGCCGTCAAAGGTTTCACTACAGAATGATTGGGAAATATAGATCTAACAAAGTTAAGGAGACATCTTTAGTATGGGCCTTCTCATAACCTTTAATATAACATGGATTTTAAGGCTCCAAGAGGAGAAAAAAATATGCAGCAGTATTTCTCAAATTTATTTGACTGGGAAATCCTTTTTTTCCTCAGTATATCTCTTGTAACTGCAGTTCTGGTAAAAACAGCTTGGGATGTTGCTGGTTATCCTCTGGGTGACATTGGGATTCTTAGGAACGGAGTTGATATATAATTCTCATGTAACACTCCAAATTTTAATTTGCTGGTATTAACATTATGTGTGATTTTATTAATACACAGTTTGTATTCAAAGTGAAACAGTCTTTTGTTACCTTGCTAATTTGCATATTAACCTTGGTGGGAGATGAAAGATGAAGCAGGTACCTATAAACCTCTTGACTCTGACTCTTAACAAAAACCTGTTTGTTAACTCTGAAGGTAAACTATGGAGATGTTTTCATTAGTCACTAAACCTGTAAGTGCTGAAAATGACATGCTTCTGTATTTCTAGGCGACTGATAACGCTCAGTGAAGAGGAAGAAGAAGGTGTGAACTGTAAGACTGGTCCAAAGCCAGTCAGATATCTGGGCCCTTCCACAAGTACCCAAATTAAAGTCAAGAACTCAGCCTCAGTCAGGGTGTCTCCAGCTACTGCAGTCCAGGCCTTGGCTCGGCCGGTGACAAACCGGTTTCAAGGTGGCAGCAGCGGAAAGGCAGCTCAGCGCTCTGAGCCCCCAAAGGCCACGTCCCCTGTGGACACTGAGGCAGCTGGGTGTTCTCAGGCTCCCCATGGGGCCGGGAGTGCAGAGAATGGAGGCACACACCTGCCCCCAGCAAAGGCGTTGCCTTCTGACAAGAAGCCAACACCCTACCGAGTGATAAAGCTGAAGAGGACCCCTCTGTGCTTGGTGACAGCTTCTAGGCAGGCCTACTGTCCCCAGCCACCTGCCCCCGAAGCTTCCAGCACTGTGGGTGTGCGGACTGAGAACGGGAAAGAGGAAGCTAATGGATAAGAGTGGTGGACTTGAAATTTCTGTCTGTCTGCTAAAGGTCCCAACCCATTCGATATGAATGGGTGACACTGTTTCTTGATGCAGTAGAGGGGAAAGCTTATGTCTTTGTACTTAGGGTTTTAAGTATAAACATAAGGAGGGGAGACTTTAAGTGGTTGGGCTATATTTACTTCTCATTTTCCCAACTTTTAAATGATTATTTGTCCACGGACAAATTATTTGTCCACAGTTTGAATTTCTGTGTTTTTTTTTTAATGGTTAATTTGTATTAAGGTGACAAAATAGTACAATAAAATAATCACTAGAGAAGTCCACTTTGTTGCTGAAATAAATGTTACTTATTGCAGCCCAGGGATAGGCATGAGGTTTGGGCTTAGATATTCCTGTCCGGTGAACTGGAGAGGGTGAATTAGTGCCTCCCTCTACTGTATCACAGCCAAGAGAGCAAATGTAGATCAAGATGAGCTGCCTACAAGTTACTCTCCCTCTCGAACATGAATAGAGATGATGGGGAGGACAAAAAGACACTACATTGAGATCATACTTTGACTCTCACTTAATTAAACTATTTTCTTTCCTAGATTGGCTTTTCTTAATCTTTTCTGTTAGCAGATTGACTTATGTATACCACAAGGAGAACTTTGGGATGAGAACTATACAACATGCCTTTGGAATAAATTGTTAAAATATCTTATTTCAATTTGAATAGTGAAGTTTTGAAAGTACTTTGAAAAAAGTTAAAAGTTTAACTTTTTAACTAAAGTTAGTATTTGTTTTTCAGAAAAGACCATAGAAGAGTCCTTCTGATTATACATATGATTTTTTATGCATAAAATTTCCATATAACTTGAATTTAATATTTTTAAACAGAATATTTTTATTAATTCTCTATTTTTTCATGACTATTCAGTTGTGTGTGTTTATTCTCAAGTGTTATGTTTTGTAATTGGATCACATATTTCTACTTTCAGTGGGCAGTATACCTTCAGTATTTTAAAAAATAAGTTCATAAGGCATGGTACTTTTTACTCAAATGCTTATCATTGTATTTGCATTGCTTTGAAAGAGTAAAGTAAATTTACTCAAAACATTGCTTTTTACAAAATAAAGTAAAACTTTTCCATAAAAAGTGACATTTTCTGTGACCATACTTATTTAAGCTCTAGAGTCCTTTAGTAGTTTGAAAGCCTGTTATTTTATATGGGTTATCTGTTACTGCTTGCAGAATTGCCTTCTTATCCAGCTAGTGTATGAAATAATTAAACCAATTTTGGATACCTGTCCATCTATTAGTAACTTTTTAAATAGGTGGTTTATTTGGCTAGAAAAAGTGATTATGTAATTGAAAATCTGTAATGACATTATCCTGTGGAATATATAAAATATTCAGTCACCTTTGAAAAATGCCATTATAGAGAATCCAGGCCTTCTAAAATCAAAGACCTAGTTAATTTTTAGAACTACCAATCTAGACATTATGAGTACTGTTGATCTAGGACATTTTGAGTTGCTGATTCATATAAGAATACTGGCAAACACATATTACATGTACTTTATACATAATAAACATTTATCTAGAAAGGAAACACATTAAAGATCCATCATGGGTGATTCACCTGACATCCTCCATTTCTTCACAGCAAGTAGTTTAAGGGAAATCTATTTAGCATATGTAGTCTTTATAAGAGGAGTGACTTTGGGTAATCTCCGAGGCTGGTGCAGCTGAGTTGGGGAGTAGCAACTGATCCCTTGAGGTATCAGGAGTTAAAGTCAAGTTTGGAATGCTCTCGGAACATGAACATTATTTGGGTTTGGTCCCCTGGGGGCTAATTTTATATGAAAAAAATTTTTCTTAATAGCAGACTCTGCAAACATAAGAGAGTTTGTAATTCATCATAACCCATTGCCCATCCTGGGGACATAAGGGATAAAAAAAAAAGGAAAGCTTTATAAATAGTGATTTGAGAAGAAGGTTTATGCAGTTGGATCAGGGGACAGAAAAATTTTTAATGGTAAGCAGGATATTTAAGAAGTGCTTATATAAAAAAGGTAATTGACTGTGCTCTTTCAGGTAATCAGTATTGAAAACTGGTTTGCCCTGACTAAAACTGGTTAGTTGTGTCGTGGAGAGCCCAAGGCTGGCAGTGGGGACCTACCGAAGGATTTCTTTTGCTTATATTGCCTTGCATTACAATTTATTATAAAGTATTTTCATATATGTTATTCCTTGCTTTTTATTTTCAGAACAATACCACAATGAATGTAGTCTTTCCCAAATTGCAGAGACCAAGCAAATGAGGTTCAGAAAAGTTAACGTTATGTGATAGCGCTCTCTCTCTCTCTCTCTCACTCACACGTCTTAGCCCCGTAATCTGATTTCTGCAGAATGATACAGCATCACTCTTAACTAAAATAAAAGCTAGAGGGAGAAAGTAAATATAGAAGTCTAAGAATTTGCTTAATAGTTGAAGTTTTGGAACAGGAAAGTATTAAAATATTGGATTACATGTGTCTCATACTAGACAAAGACTCTGTCGCTTTGCTAACAGTAGGGCCTCTTACACAGTAGGCCTTTCATAAATTTCTCAACAGTTGAGGGCAATCCCCTGCCTCCACATTATTTTAGAAAATGTATCTGGTAGCAATCTTCATGGGGTGTGGAAACTGGTTTCTGACCTTGCAGAGTTTATACTGTCAGGAGAACAAAAGAGGTGCTTGTGAAAGTTCCTTAGTACAATGAATATTGCTAATGACCACAACTGCTGTTGGTAATGACCATAATAGTTATGTAACTTGTCAAGTTGTTTACAATAACTCAGAGACTTGCATCAGCAGATCCCCAAGAAGCTCATGGCGAATGCTTCCTGACTCTTGAGAGAGGAAAGCGGCAGTCTGGCCTCCCAACCTCCTGCTTCAGTGCATCTCCTTTGCTGATGCAGTTTCTTTTTCATTCACAGATTGAATCCTGTCCCTCCTTAGCAACAGCTGACACTGAAAAACTGGTTGACTGACTTTCCAGCCCACGTTTACATACAGCATAATTATTATTCAGCTATACCTTGATTTGTAAAGAAGAAATTAATGTACGAGCACATTGGCTTTACCTGAGAAATTGTTTATAGAAAACTTGATTTACACAGCATTTTGAATGTGCACAGAGGCCTGTGGTGGTAAATTGTTCTGTAAAGGGAGAAATGCTAATGTTTATATGAATATGAGGTTGCCTTATAAAGGATTGCCTCATACCTGTAATCTCTTTGAATAGCTTTGATCTACGTTTGGTAGGATACTGCTTAGATACTAAATGGAAAGTATGAACTTAATCAAACAAAGGGAAAGAGCTTCTACTATAGCAAATGAAAAGTATTTCCAAAAGATTTACATATGTGTATTCACAAATTAACTAGGAACTTTTTAATTATGAAAAACACTGTCATTTTCCCATATGCTGAAACCCTTCCTTGAAGACTGTCAACAAGTTGCTGATTCCTCAGTCAGTGAGCAGTGGATGAGTGATTTTTTGTTGAGGGCTGCAGTTAGTATGCAGGGTTTCAAGCATGTAGGATAGCCAAAAAAAGAAACATCATGAATAGCTAACAGGAAAAAAAATTGGTTTCCAGCTGTTTCTAGAATTTCATACTCATGGAATTTGGTTGGTGGTTCAGTCTCAAAGGGGCCATTTTCACTTATAGTTCTGTCAGCCTCATAAGACACACATGGTTTACATTGTTACAGAAAAGCTAATTTTTCTCTGTTCGCATGTGTTGCCTCTGCTCATACACATTTCATATTTGCCAGCTAAATGGTTTCTGATGTAGGCTGTGGCTAAGACAAATAGAATTTTATAGTAACTGTCAGTCAGTATTCTGCTCTACTTGTTTATTTAACAGCTTTTCATTTTTTAATGTTGCTTTTCATACTTTTCGTTTGTTTCCTTCACCTTGAAACCCTCATTGCCTTAGTAAAATTCTGCTGAGCTCCAGGTATGAATTTGGGGGCCTGAGGCTTAGAAGAGAAACTTGTCTTAAACAGAAAGCATGTCAAGGAAAGAAAAAGCATATTTGGTAAAGTTGGGAAAAAGATGAATATTGCTACCTTCTGCCAAGATTTCTTAAAATTTTGCACATTTCTGCTTCAATAGCAGCTCTTTCAAGAATTCATCCTCATTTCTTGCTGTAGAAGACGTGGGAAGTCAGTTTCTGGGTAGATAATACTCGTGGTGCAAGGATGTCGGAAATTGTACATTTAGACCCCAGCTGCAGGTCAGACAGCGTGGAGCTGGTAACCTAGGCTGAACCAGTCAAGAACCCAGCGTTGCTGGAGGAATCAAGGCCACACGTCCTCACTCATCTACTGTGTCTCTGTCCCCTTCCTCCAAACGCCTCAGGTCTTCTAGATCAGGGTTCCTCACCAGTGGCGTTACTGACATTTTTGACCAGATAGTTCTTTATTGTCAGGACTACACTGCATTACAGTGTGTTTAGCAGTGTCCCTGGCCAGCATCCCCTGCCCAGTCGTGACAGTCAAAAATATCCCCAGACTTTTCCCAAAGTCTCTTGGAGAGGGGAGATGTGTATCAATTGTCTCCAGCTGAGGACCCATTGTTCTAGTGGGCGACTTACGTAGAGCAAGTAACTGCTGTCCTCACTGGGGCTGTGGGTGAGTAGGAGAACTTTGGAGTTGCGAGTGGAGCCCTGGGAACCGAGCGAGAGGAGGGGACCAAAGGAAGGATGGCTCAGGCCTGCCAATGCAAAAATGTATCCTTTTAGCTCCCAATCACATTCCTGGTTATGGCATACTATTTGAAACCTTTTTGTTTGCTCTTCTTACCAAGCAACTACCTAATAAAAATTAAGATGTACTCTTCTAAGCACTTTGTACATTAACTTATGCACTATGCCAACCCTAGGATGTAGGTGTGTATTATCAGCCCATGTTACCGATGGGGAACCTGAAGCACAGAGGAGTTAGATAAGCTGCACAGGTGCCAGCAGGAGGCAAAGTCAGGACTCACATCTGTGTCATCTTACTCCAGGCCCCTAAGCACTGCGCAAGGCCTCCCCCCATTCCCAGAGAAGAGCTGGATAGGACTTGAGAGTCTTCTGTATGCCGCATGGCTATTGATAGTTGTTATATTGATCAAACACTCTCACAGTGCTCTCTGGGGTTGTGCTGGTTATCAACTCATTGCCTCTCGCGTCCAAATCCACTCTTCCTCGCCCTGCTTGTGAGACTGGAGCTGGACCCTGGACACACTTCCCTCATGCCAGCTGGCATGAGGTGAAGCTTTGTTACTGGAGGAACGCTGCAGGACAAGGGGCCTTTGCTTCCTGGTTTGGTGTGTGTCCCTGTGTTCTTGCTCCTGCAGCGCTTGGTTTGGGTGTGGGACACCCAGTGGCCTTCACCTTCAGCAAGCACTGCCTAGTGCAGCTTCCTGTTCAGTGCGTCCTCAAGCTGGGTCCCCAGATAATTCAACACCACCACCATGGGCGGCTTCCTGGCGAGTTTTGCTGGAGCCCCAGCTAGATTCCCAGCGAGTTCAGTGGTGCCCGGCAGGGGCATTCCTGGCGAGTCGGTCAGCACCTCTGAGGGAAGCGCCCCGGTGTTTCCAAGGCTCTATGGGTGGCTCTTTCTTGCCAGTTCCAGCCTGAAGAGCCTCAGTGAGCTGCTCTGTCCTGCCCTGGGCCACAGCCACACTCTTCCCAAGGTCTGAATCAGCCTCCAGGGTGGGGGAGGCTCTTTTAAACTTGTTCCTTCCTTGGGCACTTTGTCTTACCTTTAATAGTGACTGTTCCCTGTATCTGCTATTCCTGGCTTCTTTAGCATTCTTATCCCTCACTAGTGATTCCCCTGTTACTCATTATTTCTGTAGATCTATTTTCCCCAGGTAAATTTATAAAGCTTCCCCATCAAATTACTCTGCGGTTACTTTTTCCTGCCTGGAACCCATATACAATGCATTATTGCACTTGGCATTATTCCAAGTGCTTTGCAGATATTAACTTATCCAATCCTTACAACAACCCTGTGAGGTGGGTATGGTTACTGCCCCATTTTTGCATGAAGAAACCAAGGTAATGAGATGTTTAGAAACTTGTCCAAGTTTACACAGCCAGTAGGTGGTGGAGCCTGGACTTGAATCCGGGCGGGCGGCCTCTGAGGGTGAGTACTTCGGCGGCTCTGCTCTCTCTTCCCATCTCCTCTAGAATTGTCATATTGGATGGTTTTGCACAAGCCATTTAGACTACAGAATTTTCCAGAGGTATTGGAGTTGATCACTCATTCATATCTTCTCTCTCCTCCTTCCAATCAGTATTTATGAAACACCTACTATGTGTCAGGTGTTGGCAGAAGGGTAATGACATTATTGTCTGGCTTGTTACACAATGGTGGTAATTTACAGAAATTGTATGTTTTCTCAAATGACTAGAAATAGTTAAATCTAATTCAAATTTAACTGAGGTTAAAAATAGGATAGTTTTCTATTTTTGACAAGAAACGCTTTTTTTTTTTCTTGAGACAGAGTCTCGCTTTGTTGCCCAGGCTAGAGTGAGTGCCCTGGCGTCAGCCTAGCTCACAGCAACCTCAAACTCCTGGGCTCAAGCAATCCTGCTGCCTCAGCCTCTCAAGTAGCTGGGACTACAGGCATGCGCCACCATGCCTGGCTAATTTTTTCTATGTATATTAGCCGGCCAATTAATTTCTTCCTATTTTTAGTAGAGACGGGGTCTCGCTCTTGCTCAGGCTGGTTTCAAACTCCTGACCTCAAGTAATCTGCCCGCCTCGGCCTCCCAGAGTGCTAAGATTACAGGCGTGAGCCACCGCGCCCGGCCTATGAAACGCTTTTTTATAGTTATTTTCTTCTGTAGAAGTTCTTTGTTTGGTTATTGTTGTAGTCATGGTTCTGGAATAATTTCTTTTTTTTTTTTTTGCCAGAAGTCTACATACTTTCTCAGAAAAATAAGTTTGCTTTAGAATTTATTTATTGTTCTGTAACAGTTGTGTGTGGCAATTCTCCCGATGAAACTCAAGCTGAGTGGTAGCAACAGGGGCTCCACTGAGCTGTGGGAAAAAGCACAGATCACAGACAAACGGGCTTCTGAAAATTAGTCATAAAAAGGTTGCAGGAAACTTGTGTGATGAGAGCAACGTTGTGTGTTTCTCTGCCAGAATGACTAGATCCAGACGAGAGAGCCTTTGCCTGCAGGGCTGCTATCAGGAGATTAAACTCTGGTTTTGGCTGATCTGCCTCCAAGGATTGGGGACCTGGTTCTTTGAATCTAAGAACAGACAGAAAACTTCCTTAGGATTTATAAAGGCTTGTTGGAAAAAGCAAAAGCATGAAAAAAAGTTCCTTGTAATGGCTTGTAAAGAATAGTATTAAAATTGTGCTTCAAATTATTAGCTAATTAACAAGAGAATCACTGGGACTTAGCAATTCTTTCTAATTTTTCTCACAGAATTAGAGCAATTAAGATGACAGTACTTTCGGGAAAATGCTGGAGCAATGTATTAGTTAGATTATCGTTTTTTTCTTTTTGGTCTTTTGCTGTTTTATAGTTTGCAGTTTGCTTAAGAAGTGTAACAACAGGTGACCAGCTCATTCTCTGGCTTCATTGTTAGTGGGGGGGGGGCGGAATTTGGGGTCCTAGTCCACCAACGCCTGAATTTTAGGTATGGTCTCTTAAACAAGTATAGTAAAAAATAAATGTGCCATTACAGAGTTCATAGATGCTGTCACTGGAATATTTGTTGAGAAATGAAATTTTACCATCTCCAGACACACGAGGGCACTCACAAACAGGCGGCGTTGGGTGCAGAGTACAAATGGAGGGAAGAAGGAAGGAGGAAGCTCTTTGTCAGAGGTAGTGTGGAATTCTGGCATCTCCCTATCTGGTGGCAGACCTGCCTGGGATAATGGGTCCAGGAAGAGACCTAGGTAGGCCCTTGGTCCCCACTTCTCCCTGCTAAATCAAGACTGAGCTTCAAATCCGGGCTTTTAGAGAGTCAGAATTCCCAAGTCTGTTACTTTAGCAAAAAACTGCTTCTAGTCTGGTAACATTCCCCATTAACCTCATTTGATGTCGCTTTCCTAAGAATTGTTTAATTAGAATCTCTTTTCTGACGCCAGCAGAATTGAACTGTTAGTGAACTGAGCTTTAAATTGGATGTGTCGTGTTTCTAGTTCCTTTCCCCAAACTCTTGTACTGCCTCCCTTGAGAGTGAATTTTGCAGTGACTTGTGTTTAACTTTCTGTGTCTTGCTGCATTAAGCACCTCTAGGGTAGGATCAACAGGACAGAGCTGGAGTATATAGAGATTCTCAAATGAAATGTAAATTTGGAACGTAATTGGGAACCCAACAGGGAGGTTTGGATTTCACATGAGTCTTGGTGAAAGGTCCATGCGGTATAATGTAGGTGAGTTTTAAAGTTATTCAATCTTCATGGGCATTAAACTGTTTTAACCTCTACTAGGCAAATATTTATGAGAGAATCTATTCTTTTGACTACTGTGCATTAAGTAGAGCAATTAGAGTGTTCACAGCCCTTGGAGTTTTTTAAAGGAGTTGAAAATATTTTAAAAGAATGGCAGAATATGACCCAGTTTTCTAGGATCACAACAATGGTTCCATCAGAGCAGATGAAGATATGTAATATAATATTTAAATGGCCTGACATTGGCACTAAAATACCAAAATCATGGTTTCAGAAATGCAAATTAGCAAATGCTCACATGCCCAAAAGGCAAAAAACTAGGGAAAAAATGTAATCAGGTCTTAACAACTTTTAGCATTCTTTTGTTTCTTTTCAGTGAACTGGGAGTGTTTGCTATGTGCTTAGGAATGTGTTTGAGCTTTCTTAACCCCAAGAGCAACATGAGGGAGTGAGTCAAAGTTAAGAATGGTTGGGTTCAACTCTGACAAAGGCAGGTGCACTCTTGACTTGGCAGCTCCATGTCACAAGAATTATTTGACTCATCCTTAAAGCTGTCACATTTGAACTGCCATTTTTCAGTGGTGAGAGCAAAATCTTATTACACAAAAATTGTGCAAAATCCTTCTGTCTTGTAATAGATAAATTCAGGGCCTCAGATGGGGTAAACAGGGACTGCAGTCCTGAACATTTATCTTTCTTATTTGAGTGAACAGCTCTTCCTTCCTTCCTGGAATGTGACTTAACATTTTGAATTCCTATTAAATCTCTGGGTACACCCAGAGATCTCAGAAAGCTCTCTACAGAGAGAGCAAACATCCTCCTGTACTTGGCAAAAAAAGAAACAGATGCTTGCGTGGCTCGCAGGCTCAGCTGCTCTGGGCTGCTTTGTGGAAGAGAATCAGTGAACCTGGGTTGCCAGGAAAAATGTTCATGTTGAGCTGAGAATAAGCATTTGAACTTGAAAGTAACCAACAAATCTGTAGGACACATTAGTACAATGGAAGCAGCACCCAAGCTGCACTGCCCTGCAGTCAAAGACAGGGGAATTGGGGCTATTTGGTGTGTGGGCCATTCAGTCTCCATATCCCTTCCTAGGGCTCTTCTCTGTACAGCCCAGGTGCTGGGGTAAGCTGCCTATACCTCGGCTTGAGGGGCGGGCTCTGATGAGTCTATGCTAAGTAGTACATCCCATTCGCTGGTCTCCCCACTTTGATGACTGGTTTAGGGAAAGGGCTACAAGCAATTCAAAATGCAAATTAGTAAATGCTCACATGGCCAGGGTCCATAAAAAAGCAAGAAACTGGGGAAAAATGTAATCAGGTCTTAATATTTTTTAGTACTCTTTTGTTTCCTTTCAGTGAACTGGGAGTGTTTGCTATGTGCTTGGGAATGTGTTCGCACTTAATTAACCCCAAGAGCAACAAGAGGGAGTGAGTCAAGGTTAAGAGTGGTTGGGTTCAACTCTTTGCTGGGACTTCTGAGAAAGACACTTATTCCAGGTAGAAGCTACCTGGACAACTTTTTTCTTCTGGACAGTGTGGGGAAAGAGACTTGAGTCCTAGGACCTAGCCAGCCATTTGCCACTATTCTGAATATAATGTCAACCTAAAGGGGAAGGGAGATCTGAGATAATCAAGAGAAAGGAGCTGCAACCGTGATCAAATTGGACCCAGTTGGACATTGCACTCACTGAATCAATAAATTCTCTTTATTAAGCTGGGCAGATTCAAGGTTTATATTACTTGCAACCAAGGTTCCCAATTGCCACGTGGTGTCTAAGATGATTGGGGTGAGCATCCATCTATCTTATCTGTGTGTAACCTAACTTAAGGGACACTATTTTTTCTGAAAGGGTACTTGTCCCAAGGGAAATGGTTTAGTACAGACCTTTGAGTCTCAATCTGCAGTCTCTGAAGTTTTCTTGGAAGTACTATATGGTACACTCAATAACAAGGTGGGTATCAATAAAAGCAACAAGCCAGGTGTCAAATGCAGCATATTTTAATTTGTTTCAAATAAAGCAATATATGTATATATATATTTTTCAGAAAAACACCAGATGTTAAATTCTACAAAAGCGCATGTGTCCTCAGCAGATCACGTTTGTCTGATCATTAAGAATTCTTTTTTTTTTTCTTTTTTAACATTAACTCTCTAAAGACAATCAACGGACTGACATCACCGCTACGACATAGGTTGCTAACGGAGCCTCTGATCTTCAGCCACATCTTGATTTTCCTAACACATGAGTAAATACTGCCTGGCTAAAATGCTGCAAAGTCGTGATGAGAGAAAGCGTCAACAGATCAAGCAAAGCCATGAAAGTTATGAAGCAAGCTAGAGCTGATTATTAGAATTAGTAAAAACGATTAAAGAGAGGATGACACAACCATACAGGATTCGTATATTCTGATTGACTCTCTTTTGGCAGCGAATCGGGTCAGCACCTCGGGCAGGGAACCAAAATGAGTGAAAACTGCTCTTTTCTCTCCTAGCTCAGGCCACCAACGTCACAGCCGGCACTGAGAGAACCGTGGCATCTGTCGAAACTTCTATTCTCGTGGGGCAGAGGTTGCACTGTGACACCCTCCCAACGTTACCCCGGAAGGGCCTGGCCTCGGAGGCGTCTGCCGGGTGCTGCCTTCTCCGGGGCTTTTCAGAGTGGGCCGGGGCCTCAGGGGTCTTTGTCCCCAAGGGGGCCTCTTGATTTTTGGTGCCGCCTTTGTTTTTGGGACGGAAGCCATTGTGCGGCTGTCTTCTGTGTTCGTGGCGGCTGCTGCCCTTCCCCATCGGATCAGCCTCGTTGCCGCTGCCCTGGGACTTGGCAGGCCCATTCAGCCTGTTGTGATACTGTGGATTAAATCTTCGTCTTTGGCTAGAAGACCCATTCTACCAAAAAAGAAAAGAGATACGTATCAGATGCCAGCAAACCACAGATGACACCAGTAGACATCAGGGAAACCAAGCCTCAAGGCCACAGGTGAGCTTTTTATACACCTCAGAAGAATATGAAAGCATGAAAATGAGGCCAAGCAGATAAAATCCTTAATCTTAAAGAATAGTGGACTGTCTTGTAAATGGAACCGTAAGGAAATTACTGATGCTGAAAGAGGCTGAAAGAGGCATAAGACAGACAATTCAAAAACTGGGCCAAATAAAACCCATAAAATATGCTTCAAATATAGCACAATAAAATGTAACACAGGGGCAGGGAAATGATGATTCTCTACCATGAAAATTTTTGAGACATTCTGTATAGACTGTGTACAAGAATGCTAATTAAAAACACGAAAAGTAAAATTCTGTATGTAGATTTTCTTCTCTAAAGCAGTTTTTCTAATTTATTTCAAAGCAAATATCATCATAGTTCAGAAATATTACCCTTGGCACATACAGAGTTGAAGTGTACCTGGGGGACCGTGGTGGGGTGTGGAGCTAAGGTGTAATTTCACAGAGCTCATTAGTTCTAAACATTCTGCAGTTCTAAGCAAACAAATTTTGAAGCCTCATTCTGAGAAATCACTCCTTCAACAAATCAGCAGCCAAGAACATAAATGGATGAGAAATAAGGAAGCAATGGATTAAGCCTGTCTGTCCCTCTGCAAGGAAAAGGTCAATTATGAACTCCTTGAGGTCAATAATGGCCAAGACCCACTGAGCGCTTACAACGTGCCAGGCACCCAGGGGTGCTTTGGTGTGCATCCCCTCATCTGGTGCCACAGTCATCCTTGATGGTGGATGCTGATATCTGCCTCATTTTATAGATGACGGTGATGCATTTAAGGGATTCGCCCAAGATCTATAGTTGGGTAATGGTGGAGCCATTCCTACTTCACGTACTGTCTCGACAAGATTCATAAGTAGGTTGTTACATGAACACAGACGTTTTTTTGAAAGTCAAACTACTATTAAAACATGTACTTTCACGAGTTACAAATATGTAAGGTTCTTTATTTGCGCACTGTGGCTGGATGGTGCATAGGTTCAGGGCCCAACCCCCAATAACTCAGGGCCCAGGGCAAGAGTGCAGGTGCAGGCCCACATGCTCTAAGTCTGAACACCGTCTTCCTACCTCTGGCTCCCCCCACACTGTGAGGGCTCTTTGCACATGTGACAGTGGATATTCCCACCTGCAGACCTACACTTTGCCCCACTCCTGCAAACAACCACCTTTGGGACCTATGGGTGTGCAAAGTGGTCTGCCCTCAAGACAATGTACCCAAGGAAGTGGTCCCAACAGACTCTATGAGTGGATCCCTTAGGGGCAGAATTCCAGGATCTCAAGTGCTTGGAGCATCTTCTAGGAGGGAGATCGCAGATTCTGTTGGTCGTGTCTCCTGGGTCTCACTAACTCCTCACACTGTGGGGCAGGCCCTGTCTGGGGGAGGGGCGGAAGGGTCACTCTCAAGCTCAGGGCCAGCCCAAGGGCCCTCCTTGCCTGGGTCTGCAGTGTTCTGACTCAGGTATTTGAGTGTGTTTCAACTATCACCTAAAATGCGAAAACAGTGAGCTGAAAAAGTATCTACATAGATAGCATTTAATTTGGCCTCGTTTGTTTTTAAAGAAATTGTGAAAAGGAAACTCTAAGACTAAATTTTAGACTGAGTTTTAGCATGGTGTTTAATAATGAACAAAGGACAAAAGCGGCAAAGACGTATTTAGACTATAAGTAACACAGATTTGATTTTGATCTTTAATCAATGAGTCTATGAAATCCTCCTTCTCAAAGTGCTATTTTAAAGCTCAGGAAGACATTCATAGCCAACGAAGTGCCTGTCAATGTCATTAATGGGAATTCTAGAAGACCAAGACAACAAAACCCACCAGGGCACTTGTTAGAAAACCAATATTTTAAAATCCTCAAAAGAACAAAAGAATTTTTTTCTTAGAGATCATGAAAGGTGATTTTATAGCATGCTCAACTTCCATATCATCAGATTCCATTTCTTGGTAATTCTCCAACGATAAGGAGGAAATCAGCTCCCAAAGGTACAGTGGAGAAGGGAAGGAGAGAAGGAAGGCTGTCCTTTGTAAACCTGTGTTTCCGGAGGTCACAGCAGATAAGGATGGACGATGCCATTTTGAAATGTACTTTCTTTCCTGATATCTCAAGAGAAGTTTGCGCTCACTTAGGTCTCTTGTTGACAAACTAAACGTAAGTGGGAATTAAAAGGTCTTATAAAATAAATGCCAGGTCTCCTCTCAATAATAGTTTCAGAGACCAGGTTCTGAATCTTGCTCCTGAGTCTGTGTGGGTCCTTTCCACTTGTGGGCTGCTATGGGGACCTGGGGATGGCGGCCTCAGGGGCATGAGAAGAGCTGTCTCTGTTTGGTGGACTCTGACAATGCTGATTGTGAGTGCCCACAGGCCACCTTCTCCACGTGGGCAAGCACCTGCGTAGTGTGGACTGGGTGGACCAGGGCAGTTCCCGTGGGGCCAGCCAGGCAGGCTTGCTGGGGTGGGGTGGGGGTGAGGATGGAGGGGCCTGGGTGTGCCCCAGGAAATCAGCAGCTAGCAGTTGCTGTTTTCTCCCTGTAGAAGCAGGTGGTTCCTCCCCCAGCACCACGCACCCAGTGTCTGCAGGACCCCTGCAGGCAGCACTAGGTGGCCTCCCCAGAGCGGCTTACCTGCTTGGTGGCCGGCACGGCCTGGTGAGAGGGGTCAGCAGTGCTGGGAAGGCTGCTCACCATTTTGGGGTTTGCTGCTTTGCCCTCGGAGGGCCTGTTGTGATTGGATGATTTTCTGGTAAAGTTACTCTGTTTCCCAGAGGTTGCCGCGTGAGCGTTCAGCAGAGGCAGCAGGGAGCTGCAGGGAGTTCTTGAAGAATAGCTGTTCTTTGGATGTGTAACTGCAACAAGAAAGTGCTTGGGGTCACAGGTCGCCTCTCGCACACTGCTGCCTCAGTAGCCCATTAGGAAACACTGGGAGATGAAGAAACTGGCAGAAGTGCCATAAAAACACTCAGAAAAGTTTTTTTTTTTTTTTTGAAAGATGTCATTTGAAAGGGCACCTTGGCACTTAGAGACCAACAAATTTCTCCTGTGGGAATCGCTGAACTGTGATGATAGCATAATCACCCAAGTTGGGAGACATTTGTAGGAAATGAGACATATCTGAGTAACTTAAATATTATTCTTTAGGTCAAGAACCACCAGGGGAAGAGATAAAGAAACTGTGAGGTGCCCTCTCTGGCCACGTCTGCAAATGCTCTCTGGTTTGTAGGTTCTCCATTATCGAACCCATTCTCAGCGCTCTGATCAGACCCCTAGGCCCGTCGGTGCTGTAGAGACTCAGAGAGAGCAGGAGCTCTGCAGGTGCCCTGGCCTTTCAGACCCCATGCTCTGAAAGCATGAGAACGGTGTTATGGGGTGTCAGGAATTCTGTCACCTGGGCTTATGCATATCCCTGACCATAGGGCCAGGCCTGCCAGCCTCTAAGGCATCTTGTGTATTCCATTGGAGCTACATCATCCAGCCGCCTATCAGCCCCATTTCCTGCGGCCTCACTATAGACAGGCACCGCTTCCAATGCTGCAGGCAACAGGCTGATGAGGCAGACCCTGCCGGGGCTCGGGGCTCAGGGCTCAGGCCGGTCTGTTCAGCGTTAGCTATTGCCATGCCTGCAGGTTTCGAAAGTGGCGGTTTCTGACGGGATGGTTTCTATGTAAAGATGCTGAACCGGGGCCAAAAAGAGAGCAATTCAAGGATAAGGCCACGACCCTCCCCTCACAGTCCACCAAAATCTGGCTGCCAGGCTGGACAGCAAGACCTTTCTTTGAATCTTAAAATTGTCACCAATTTTTAAAAGCAACTTTCTTTGCTCCCTTTGTTGGATCAGACCTAATCCCGGGGTTCTGCCAGAGGATCAGGAGGGACCAGTAGGGATCACAAAACATTAGAAATGGAAAGGACAGGGACATAGCTCCAGTCCCTTCCTTTTATAGGTAAGGTGGGACAGCAAGTTGGGGGCTGTCCAGGCATGACTGGGGGGTTTCTGTGGCTCTTGTTGCTCACCACATTCCGTTTCATGGGGTGATTATTTCCTACAGCTCAGAGACCACTACTTCCGGTTCAGTAGCTGCGGGCTCTCAACGTGCTCCACAAAGCCGAGAAGGCAAGGACCTCTGGGGGATTACTGTCTCAAACATGCGGGGATGGCTTCCACAGTGGACACTGGTGGTTTGGTAAGGGACAGTGTCTCCCACTAGATGGCACTTGGGGTGCTCTGGAGAGATGGGGCGAAGGGGCACCTCCCCCCGACCCTGCGCTGGCTGATGAAGAGGCACTCGCATCAGTGCCTTGCTCATCAGCAGGCCGAACAGAAACTAGGATGGGCAGGGGCATTTCCAGCTGGGAGCCAGACTGTGCTTTCTTAGACATGGGGCAAAAGCTGGGGACAGACAGTGGCAAATAGGTAGATTCTTTCATAAAGGAAGGTGCATACAGGAATAAAAAGAAAACAATTTCAGAGAAGTGCAGTCAGATCGGATAATTGCCAAAGATGTGTGAACAAGGATGCTCACAGCAGTGTTGTTTTCATGGTAAAAAACTGGGAGCAACCTAAATGCCACAATCAGAGGACTGGTTACATCAATTATATTTAGACAAATTATCAGTTAAATATATTGACATGGAAAAATGTCTGCCATGGATTGTGAAGTGATAAAAGCCAATGGTATTACTACGTAAGTATGTAGTATAGTACAGTTAATTGTATTATAATACAAAATGCAGCCCAATCTCAATGTTCGGCTGACTCCAAGGCTGCAGACTGCCCATGTCCCTCACCAGTCCTCCTTTCCTCTTTGTGGCCGTCCTTAAAGCCACTTTAGTACTTAGTCTCCTTCCCCTCGTGGGTGGGCTGGTGGAAGGGAAAAATATTGGCCAATTTTGTTGCACATTAGCTGCTCTAATTAAGGCTTAATAGGGAACAAGACTAAAGCTAACGGCTGAGCGAGGTCTCTCATTATCTGCAGACCTGGCTCAGCGCAGAGAAGCCAGGGCTGCGGCTTAGGGCACAGCGGCAGCACAGGCAAAACAGCTGGGCCCTGCACAACAATAGCTGATTGTTCCCGACTTATTAGGGAGACTCGCTCTCTGCCTAACATGTTCCTGTGGAACCAAGGCTGTTTGAAATCAGAGAGGCAGTTTATCTGGCGGTGCTTAAGAAAAGTTTGCAAAAGGTATAAACTAGTTGACCTGTTCTGTTCCGCTTAATAAATCCTGGAGATTTACTGATGGGCAGTGGCATTTGAAGACTTTAAGTTCAACTCTTGACATTTCTAGTGACTTGTGTCATGAGGGTAGATCATTAAATCTCTTTAGACCTCACTTGAGCCCCCTGGGGAGACTGCACACCTGACATTTCTGGTATCAACTCCAAATAGCACCAAGCTTACTCACACAGAATTATTTAGCAACAAAACTTACTTTCTCCGCAGAGCATGATTTGGGCCTTCAGCTGTTCGATGTCGCAGGAGAATCGGGCAGCCTTCCCGAGCTCTTCGTCATATTTACGCTCGCTGACAAAGTGCTGCAGGGAAGAGAAGCGAAGCAGGAGCCCCACAATTACAGATTCATTCACTCAGCTCTCCGGGTGCCCGATGGTGGTGCTGGCCCGTTGGGGACCATTCTAGCCTGGCACTGCACGGTTCCATTAGTCAGCCTTGGTTCTGACCTGCCTGGGGCATGCTCACCTCCTTGTTCAGGGAATATGTGGTCCTGTCTTTCTCCTGTCTGGGCTTAGACAAAATATGTGTCTGACTCATTTATTTGACCTTTTAGCACCTATCACCCTCCTTCTAGGAATTTTCTGGGTTGCATTCTGGCAGGGTCTTCCTAGTTTGGCCAAGCGCCTGCTAAGGTATTAACCGTCGAGACAAAACACGTCACCCTCCCTAGACACCTATCCCTATTTCAACAGGGAACCAGAAAGTCCAAAAACCCTTAAGTGTCTAGAAAATATTATCTTGAATGGCAGAATTTCAAGTGCTGTTAAAGAAAGGGGGAAAGAGATTATTTCTCAATTCATTTGAAATTAAGATCTATGTGTAGATGACAGTGAGAAATACAGAAATAACCATGACTCAGTCCCTCCTTGAGTTTACCAGGGAGTTCAGCACATGGCAAGGGAAACGGATACCATGAAGTATCATACAAGGTAGAATGCAGTTGGTGTTTCGGGAATGTAAAAGAGGAAGAAATTATTTCTTACTGCGGGAAGTGGGGAAAGAGTTACGTAAAAGGGAACATTTGAGCTGGAACATCAAAAAAATTATTGAACATTTACCAGACAGTGACCAAATTCTTAACAGATAATATCACTTTCATCTGATCACATTATTATGAAGTCATTACTATTATTATCTCTATTTTACCGATCAGGGAATTGAGGTTCTAAGACTCTAAGAGAATACGTCACTTAGCCAGAGAATACATTATTTAGCCAAGGTCACTGAAATAGAAAATTCTGCCACTGGAGTGTTTCACTCCAAAGCCTGTGCCCCTGACCATTTTATGATGAGTGGGATTTTGATAGGCAGAAATGAAACTTGAAAGATGAGTTGATTTCAACAGAGCAGGAAGCTGGCAATTTCATATTCCTCACGTGATGTTCTGGCAAGCTGGGAGTTTTGGAGGGGGAGATGGAAGTTGGAATATATATTGAAGTTCAGTTGTGGATTTTGTTCTGAGGGGAAGGGTGGCTCATACTGGGGGAGGCCAGACCTGCTTTTCGGGTATAACTCTGGTCTTGGTGGAGGACAAGGCTGGAGGGAGACAGCGGGAGTTAGGAGGCCAATGCTATCGGCTGGTGGGAGGCAACAAACGCCAGACCATAAAGGGGAGAAGGAAAGACCTAGAGCTCTCTGCACCCCCAGGGGGTCCCTTCCCCACAGTGCTCCCTTTCATGCTTAATAGGGGGGAGGGGACTGAAAAGTCATTTGCCACTTTCCACCACTCCCAACCAGTTGTATGCCTGGGTGAGCAACTATCTTACTTCTAAAGCTAGCAGCAGATGAGTCTTGCAACCACTCTAGTTTCCTAGGAGTGGGAGGGTGTGTGTGTGTGTGTGTGTGTGTGTGTGTGTGTGTGTGTGTTTAGTATACTCGGTTTAGTATACTGTGAAAAAGAGGAAGGTAAGGGGAATTTATAAACTTCATCTTCCCATTTGGTTGTAAATTCTTGTTCTTGCCTTATCCCCTGCTGGTTGGTAACTGTACCCCAATGCAGTTTTGAAGATCCACAGTCTTGGAGGGTCTGTCAATCAAGATGTCACCCTTTGTCTGGACCAAATGATGGATGTGACCCTGGTGGATGCCAATCAGAGACTCTCCCTTGGGGATCTGATCAAATTGGGTGGGACAAGGGCAGATAATGCCCAGGGGTCACACACTCCTACGGTGCCCTGAAGACAGTGTCTCGTAATTCTTGCTTCCTACATTACCTTAGCCATCTCGGTTTCTCCCTAATTGCAGACCTGAGTCTTGAGATCACCCTCTGCTTCAGTGAGCTACACTCACATTCTTTCAAATTGTACTTGTTCTTGAGGCTAGCCAGGGTCAGTTTCTGTTGCTTGAAATTGCAGAAACCTAACAAATACATATTTGAGGGTAGTATTCCTAATAAAAGGCAACTAAGCTAGAAAAGGATATAGGAAAGAGGTCTCCGTGGACTGCATGTTTTATAATCCTTACTGTTACACTAAGTTTATACTCAGTATGTGTTTATATGCCTGTGTATGTGTTTATGTACATACATATAAATTACATAGTGTGAAAATAATATCATCCCCCATCCTAGCTATAATTCATAGTTGAGTACACTTTATTTGGGTCAGTCTCTACTGATGACAAGAATAGCTTGTACCTCTCCTTTGTAATAATATAGCCCTTCAAACCACATTATACTTAAATGCAGTGATTAGGTGGTTCTTCACCCTTTTGTATTCTTTATTTCAACCCTGTGGGAGAGAGCTGGGTGTGTGATGTTAGGTCCTCAGAGAGCAGCACTCTGTGGATGCAAAACAAACATAGTGGAGATCAGGACTCTAGCTCAGGGTTGAGGCTGTGATATTTTAGAACTGACCTTAATTTCTGCCCTGAGTTCGGCCAGCTGCATCTCTGCCATCTGACTGGCTAGATCAGTAAGTCTCTTTAGTTCTTCTGCTTTCTTCTGACGAGCAGTCAGGATTTCCACTGCCAAAAAAGAAGGAATAACACATCAGGGCCAGATATTTAAACATATTAAATGACCTAATTTCTTGGCGACAGTTTCCCCTCCACAGACTAATCACTTTGTTGGACCATGACTATGTTTTCTGAGTTGGTCAGGGAGGCGGGTTCACCCTTGCTGCCCATTTCCAACAGCCCATTTCCTCATGTCCTTACCCACCAATCACCACACCTTCCACAGACTAATCACTTTGTTGGACCATGACTATGTTTTCTGAGTTGGTCAGGGAGGCGGGTTCACCCTTGCTGCCCATTTCCAACAGCCCATTTCCTCATGTCCTTACCCACCAATCACCACACCAAACACAGTCCCTTCTGAGTCACTGCCCACCCACACTCTTCATTCTCTCCATTAGTGTCTGCTCTCATTTACTTAATTTAAACTTTCAAAATTTGTGAGTTACTTAGAACATTTATCTCTGAAAAAAGATACTTATTTAAATCCTATCTGAATGATATTGCAAAGATAGAGAGAGCACTGAGCAAAAATCATTCTGTATGTGCTACACTATTAAATTCTAACAGCAAAAGACATTGTGAACTTCAACACACACTCACTTAGGGCAACTAGCTGTGTTATTGGAATTTGATATAAAAGTTTTATTTTATTAGTTTTTTTGTGTATGAGCTGCAAAGTGTCTCAGCTTTTGATGTACTGCAGATATGTTTCCATTTTGCAAAGACAGAGAAGTTCCAGACCAGAGTGTCTTAGGTCTTTGTTTTACATGTTCCTAATGGAAAATTTTCAAGAGTGAGTCAAGCCAGCTTGAACTGGACTCATGTGCAATCTTTAGCATCTGCACATGTAGAGAAGATACCAGGGAGTTCTCTGCCTCTACATTTTCACACATCTGTCAAATGAACTAAAGATTCAAATAGAGGTAGTAGCCCACAGGTTAATTTGTGTGTGTGTGTGTGCACGCATGTGTTTCTCAAAAGATTATGGGACTCAGAAACAATGAATATAAACAATGAATATAAACATATGAGATATAAGTATGAAGTTTGATCTTTTGATAGACAGACCTGTAGCTCTCTCATTCAAATTATATAGGGATTGCCTTCATTTCTTCTGGACAAGCATTTTGAATTATAAGAAAGGAGGAGCCCTCTAAGGTGACATGCATGTTGAACTCATGTTCCATTCCTGGTTGAACAAGGATCACTGGCTTTATTAGACCAGATTCACAACATACATGCAGAGTCAAACAACATGATTTCTGATTTTAAGAGTTCTTAATATATAAAATGTCAAAAACCAGTCATCTCAAAACCACAAAAAGAAGTACAGAATCAATCAAGAGTTAGGATTCCCTGCAAACCATAAACTATTTTTCAGATAGACTGAGAGACATTATCTTTTTATGCTGATATCTGTGTTGAGAGGTCAATAAAATAATTAGTCATAACTCATAATCTAAGATCAACTGCCAAACTCTGCTAATCAAGCTTTGACTACTTCCCTGGGGTTCCTCTTCCCCGCCATGTACAATACATTGCGGATGAGCAGACTGACCTGTGCCTAATGGTTTTTCAGAATACAGAGGAGTTAGTGAAAAACTTGCCAAATAATGGGAGTGAAAGGCATTTTCATCTGAACCTAGACAATGTATTACTGAATGATGTCTCAGGTTACTCAGTTGGCCCGGAGGTCACAAAAAGGTGGCCCACTATCATTTTTGGCCAGAATACATATGTCTTCCTTGGTCCACACATTACTTTTACAAATTAATTGCCTACATTAAAAATGAGCCCAGTGTGCTACAGTCTCTACCTGCCCCACTCGGTGCATTAATGTTACCTGCCTGGCCCCTATGAGCATCTCCAGTCACTCGTGAGATTACTGGGCAGAATGAGTCATGTAGTTCTTTGTGTCCATGACACATAGTACTGGTACCCACAGGGTGTCCAATACACTTGCTGAATGAGGAAGTCAGTGAATGAATGAATACATTACTCAAAAGGAATAACTAAAGAAGTGTGGAAGTTCCTCTTCTATGGGGGCCACTTAAGACTGTCTAGGATCCATACCTTTGATTGGTTATTTATTTATTTGCCATTATAATTCAACATATGGATAGGACTAGAGTCTGCAGTATGAGAAAACAATTTGAGTGGGAAGATGGCAAAGTAAATGAAAAACAAATTCTGAAGGCTCAGACTTGGCAAGTAGTTAGGAAAGGGTCAGCAGACCCTGAGTGATGGCACAGTTAAGCAGATCTGACTTTTCTTAGAGGATCATTTGTGGGACTAGTGACAATTAGGGGTCATTGTTCTTTTTGATTAAGTAGAACTTGGGCATTCATACCAAACAAAAGATTTTGTGGAAATAGATATAAATGGGCCCTAAAATAGGAATGCAGGTGCAAGATCACCAATAAATTCCGAGTTTACGCTCATGCAAATGTGCATGGAAATGAATACTTTGCATCAGCAAGTGTTGGGATTCATTTTACATATAGTCTCATTAACATTTCAAAGCCTTTCATTATGAAAAAAGCCTTAAAACTTGAGATCTAAAGCCAATATTCTTTGGAGGCGAACATTTTCACCTCAAAAACATCAATCACAGAAACAAAAAACAAAAACAGATCAGATCTTAAGATTCATTGATCCTGTAATTTAAAATAGAATAATAAGTATGTTTTGAAAGCATCGTCCTTTCAGAAATCTGCAGAGGGAGACAGTTCCATACAGCTTAGGTTTTCACTGCATTTGGTACCTAATTCATATTATGTATTTTTATAAATAGTATCTGGTATGCTGAAATCTATTTTCTCAATAGAATTTATAAATTCCTTCATGTTTTTGGAACAGATTGGAAACTTGCTCATATTACTTAAACCATGGAACATGTTAAGGCTCCTCAAATAATACTCCTCAGCAGAAAGTGTACTTAAAATCTGGGAAGGCCAGGAGCTGGAGCAGAAGTGGCTCTATAAGCACAAAAATTCTTTGAAATCCTTTTTATTCCTTAAAAATTCTCATGAATTTTTCATTCTGCTTCATAATATATCTGTGTTCCCATTAATACAAAATAATGTTTTCTCCCCATATCTCTAATAAACTTGACATTCCAAGAATGTGCCTATCTAGGCCTTGGCTTCACTGGATAGACAGATAAAGTTTGAGACCCTAGCACTACAACATGCTTAGTTTCTTCATCTGTAAAATCTGTAAAATATAGTAACTATACACACCTTGTAGGGTGATTGTGGAAATAAATGGAATAACATATGTAAAGTGTTTAGTATACTCAAAAATGCTAATTATAAATATCTATAAAGTGAGATCTGTTCATCTAGAATATACTTCCTTTTTCTGCAATGACATTAGTGTTCACTAACATTGGATTCCACAGTCTATAGACACTGAACTGATTATAATAATTCATTTAACAAGTATTTATGAAGGCTGCAGTCTTCCCAGCATGTGTTAGGTACCATGTAGGAGCTAATGTTATAATTAAGGAAATATGGTTTATACTGGAAATGGAAAGTGTGAAAAATACACACAGAGAAGCAAGTTCGAGATGCGGGCTGTGAAGACAGTTCTATAGTTTAGTGGGGAGACATTCCATGGTTCCTTCTATCTGTGGAGAACATGGAGTGCTGACACAGGCATGTCGCTTGAAGGATGCAGTAGAACCTCCATTTTTTGACTGTAATATTAGGGGGTTGGACTAACCTATCTACTTTTTTGCACACATGTTGTGTCAGGCACTGTGTGCTAAGGAAACTCAGATGTTGAGAAGTCAACACAACGATTCAAGATCACACAGCCAGTGCTGGAGGAGCTTGGATTTGGACTCTGTTCTATCTGCCTGCAAGGCATGCAAATTGGCTTCCCCAGGGCCAAGAGCAGTTCTAAAATCAGGATCTGCAGCACCAATTACTGAAGTCAGGTGAACCCTGTCACCAACCTAGCAGTTTGGGGAATGCAGCCTCCACATTTATCTGTTTGCTGTTTATCCTGGTCTCTAATAGTGCTAAGTACATAAGGAAGCCCATAGTGAGTGTTTATTGATTAAATGAGTTTTCGAAATGGAGATATTCTCCAGAGATGCTACAAATTCCACAGGTCTTGGAAACTAACATTTTTGTCCCAAGAAGGAAGAATGAGTACAGGAAACCTGAGGTCTTTTGTTAACCCCTGAGAAAGTGATGTGTTAGTGACTTTCAATTTCGGTGCTAGAGATCCATTTGTGTCTGTGTTGGTTATTAGCATTTTTATCATTAGGACATGAAACTGAAATAAGCTATACCTGAGAAACAGGAAAAATCCCAAGTCATGTGTATAATCCACTTTTACTGAAGATATCAATAAATTTCATAAGAATAAAATAATTTCCCAATCAAAGAGATTGCAAAACTACCTAAATTGTCCAGAGCTTCACCCTAGATCACATTAGTTTCATTTAATAAAACTTGCTGTGTTTTTGGATTGTAAAATGTTACTGAAAATTATTTTGAAAATTATGTAACAAAAATAATGATAGCTATTTTCCTTAACCCTTTGCACTCGCTTGCTTTTTGCTCATTATCCACTCGACATTATCCACACTTGACATCTGAGTGCAAAGGGTTAAAATGATATTTTTTATATGGCTTAGGTCTAGACAAGAAAAATGGAAAAGAATGAAGAATTTGGTCCAACGTTTCATTCGGGTGAAAAGGAAGATACCGCAGTCAAAGGTGAAGGGATTTAGCTGGAATCTGGTTGGGGGCACACACTGCGATTTATCTAATTCATGAGATAAAATCTGGGTAAAGATGAAGAATTTAAAATGCCAAGGACACAAGGAATGTAAAACTAAATCCCAGCTGAAAAATATGGTCTTAGTGATCCTATTAACATACAGACTGAATTCAAAAATAAGGGAGGACTCAGCATGTCCACTCATGGCTTGATGATGATCTAGGTAGTCTTTTCTCCGTCGGCATTTCCATCAGCCTAAGTAAGATGGCAAATCTCTCCTACTTAGGTAACTTTCCCACAGTGAAAAGGGTTAGAAATAAGCATAGAGAAAATAAAGTAGACCCAGAATGTTAATATTTTGTGTTAAATTTAGAAAGTTAATTTGAAGGTGTTCATTATTTGAAGATAGAATTTGGTACGTTAAGCAACCTGACTTGTGATTTCAATTGAAACCACTGAATTGGTTTTCTTTTGCGGTTTTAAGTTGGCAGGTGTCAGCATATCTGATGAAGTTTGTGAACAGAATTGGAGTATTTTAAGAAAACATTGTTTAGTATATCTCCAAGTTTGAATTATTAATCTTGTAAGATTGGCTTAAAAGCTTAGAAACACTTTGCTTGTTAGGTTTGTGAGTTTGCCTTGTCAGGCATCTGAAGTGCTTAAGAAATCATATGTATTAAATTTATATATATATATATATATAATTAAAAATGTTGAGGGGAATTTAAGTAATTAAGTTTCAAATGGGACTCATTTCTTAGGAAAATTTAATTTGATAAACTTGAGTTAATTGAACCTAAAAAAGAACAAGTAAAAATGACTATATAAATAATATAGCAAGATTTATAAGTTGCAAAGGCTTAAAAACTAATGTCTTAAGATTAAATACTAGATTCAATGGCATTTTAAACCCAATTAACTGTAAGTTCCGTATGTGCACAGAAGGTCCCCTCGGACTTTAAAAAAGTCAACTGACATCTCCAAGGTACTGAGTGCCCATTCTGCCATGCACCCAGCTCTATGTGTTGGCTGCTACCACTCTATCCTTTCCCCAGATGACGTAACTGAGGTTTCCAGGGCTAAGGGACATGTCTGAGGCAACAGAACTCATGAGCCAGGATCTCAGTGTGAATTTCTGGACCCTGCTCAGAATCCAGTATCAGTGTCATCTGACTATAGATTGCTTCTGACTGGGAGGCTCTAATCAAACAACCAGGTGTCTACTTACTGGCTTCTTCTTTAACTTTATCCATTTCTGCCATTAATGAAACTTCTTTGTCAATGATGCTGGGGAAAAACAAAAACAAAAGCAAAGAATGTTTAATCAAAGATAAACTTTTAATAAGCACTGGAAGTAAAATAAAAATTATTTTCATTAAACAAAATACAAAATTACCATAAATATTTCTATGCTACAATGCCAGCAGCACACTCTGCCTTTCCAAAAATGAGGCAACATGGAAGAGATGTTCCCAAGGCTTACATAGGGACATCTGCTGATTAAATCATTGTCAACAAATCTAAAAAAAAAGTCGTTCAGACTCAGAACTGTACTGCTTTGAATTTAAATTTGGGGGTATTTTTGCCCTATACATTCCAAAGTTTCAAACCAATGTAATAAGTATTTGACAAGCTGGCACTTAGGTCATCAAAGACTATAGTTCCCAAATGTCTCTGTGCTCCACCCTCAGAGGTTCTGTCTGGAAGGGGGTGGGGTGGGCCCAGATCTGATGCAGATGGTTTTGGGACCATACTTGGAGAAATATCTGGGTCAATCCATCCACATGCTCTACAGTATGAGTCTGCATTTTTTACTCTCACAAAGAAGCATCTCAAGGGTCTAATGAACTTCTCCCTGTTATATTTCATTTATTTTTTAGTCAGTCCTTTGAGAAGGTATTACCTGCATGAAGTTTCTCTCCAATGTGATTCTGATGCCTGATCCTCTAGCTCCCCTCCCAAAAGCACCATGACATATTCCTGACATTCCCTTTCACAGATTCTTACGAAGGGAGGAGTGAAGAGAGAGGAGCCAGCAAAGAGGCTGGGAGCTGTGTAGGGTAGAAAGCCTGGGAGGAATTGCAACTTATTTGTTGAAGAAATCAGGTTATTTGTCCTAAAGAATGGCCCTAGGTTGGAATTTCACTGATTATATCTCCACAGTGTTATTTAACCTGTTCTTTTGTATTGCCTATAAATTTGTCATTAGGTATAGAAATTTGATTAAATTCAGATTTGATTTTTTTTTGGAACACTTTATGTTATATACTTCCATCAGCACAAAAATAATGACATAACAAAGTATTCTTCCTGAAAAAACCTGATCAAATGTCTACATCTAATAACAAATTTATAGGAGATACAAAGGATATCTACCTTTTTTATGATATTAGAAATTGAGATATTCAAATTCTGTCACTCTTTCCTCATTTATTTACTAGAATTCTTTCATAAAGAGAAACTTTCCTTATCAACTATTTGGTTATCATAAAGTAGAGTTTGTACAGGTAGGCAGGATAAACGCTTGGTTCTCTCCTTTTATTCATTTTCAAAATGACAGTTGATTCCTTAGTGTCCTTCAAAGGTAATCAGTGAAAAGTTTTTGTTGGTTTGTATTGTTTAATTATGAACTCTTATTTAATGTGCTTCAGTACACTGCAGTTATCATCCTTATTGTTACTCCTTATTGTTCTATTAGATGGACTTTTATTTCTCCATCAGACAGATGTACTTTGAAAATTTAAAGTGTGTTGAAAATTTATTTCCCCTTATGAATTTTGCAATATTTGTCGAGGTCAGAAGTGATTTCTGGGATGTATCTGCAGCAGTTTGGGGGCTCCCCAACGAGAGGATGTAATCTAATTTATTGGAGAGTAAGCAATGTGTGCTGAGAAGCTCAGCTCTTCCCAGTCAGGAAATCCTGGTGGAAAGAAATGCTGCTGTGTGCAATGAATGGCGAATTCTCCAGAATTGGGCTTGGAGCCTCGTCCGGCAGTTATCCCATGACGCACATGGCTTCAGGTCAGTGGATATGATCACTTTGGTGTAACCAGCATATCAGTACCTTATTTATTGACATTACACAGGTATGATGTCAATGTGTTTTAAACATAGGAAATGCATGATACAGAAAGGTGTATGGTGAGAAGGAAGTCTTTATCCCATCTCTGCCCCAGCTTGCTCAGTTCCCCTCCCTGGAGGTCTCCAATGCTACAAGTTTCTTGCATTTATTACCAGAGGCTGTCTATGCATGAACCAGAGTATATTTCGTAATTGTATAAAATGCTAGGTTGAGTCAATAGACTTGGTGCTCCTATGATTAAAGGCATATTTAGCTTCTCTGCCAAGTTAACAAACATAGCCATAATAGAGGCAAGTGTGCGTGTGTGTTTAAAAAAATTTTTACAACCTTCTTAAAGGGGGCACTTCTATCTTAGTTTAGGAAAACAAAGGCTAATAGACAAGCTAGTAGGGAGATAATGTGAGAACCTAGAGACTTGCAATCAGGAGCCCAAACTACATGTATATGGTTCAGCCGCTCTGCCTGAGAAAATGTTCTGAATTTTTACCCCCTATGGAAATGGGAGAGAAGAGAGAAGATTCAGCAAGCAGCCTGGAAGCTGTGTGGGGTGAAGGCCCTGGGAGAACCTCCACTGGTGGGGTGGCAAGAGAACTTCAGGGTGACTGAATGTCACATGTTTCATGGTAGGGGAGTGCTCCGAGCCGTGCTCAGGATGCCACAGCTCTGCTTTGCTCGGCGTGGTTTGAATGTGTGTAGGTGCACTCATAGGGAAACTGAGGCAGCAGCTGGGCTTCATGCCCGGTCAACGCAAGGCTGGACAGGTGGGAAGAGGCACAGCCTGAAGGCAGAGTGAGTGTGAGAACGTGAACCCACTGCCACCCCCTGAACCAGCACAGATCTGAGGGGGCTTTGGAGTTCCACAGGCCGTGCAGTAGGAGTCCAGACAACTCACTTGGAGTGTAATAGGCTGGGTGACCCAGCTGACCCATGGGTCACATGGTGGTGGAGCTACATACAGGTCATGTGACACTTGCAGGTGACCTGTGCTCCATTCTTGGAGGCAGAGTGAGGCAGGGCTGCGTGAGGTTTGGGATGGCTATCCAGGAATATGGCGCAGAGAGGACTAGAAATGAGAAGAATGACAAAGCATTCGTTCATTTGACCACTATTTGCTGAGTGCCTGCCATGTGCAAGGCAAGGGTTTGGGGGCTGGGGTTTAAAAAATAAAGATTTCTTCCATCCCTGTGGAGCCTACATTCTTCTTGGGAAAGCTGAGAAGAATGTGGGAGGACCTGCCCAGACTCACTGGGGAAACGGTGAAAAACAGATAGGGAAGAAAGTGGTGATGGCAAGAAAGACAGATTCGGATTCCCCTCCCCCCTCAACTAGAAGGCTTCTAAATAGAGTGCTCAGGTTTTGAGAGCAGCAGAGCACACAACTAAGGGAAACAGACGCTGGTGACACAGGTTGGCCTGCCCTCAGACGTCCAGTGGGTCGGGGAGGAGCAGACAGCAGACACAGCATGGAGCCCCGAGGCTGGGATTCCCGCAGCCTGTGTGCAGAAGGGCCTTTGCTAATTTCTTTATCAGCCACAAGATCATGGTAACATTTTTGCTGATTAAATTTGTTAGCATAGTTTTGTGCCCCGAGAGTTTACAAGATGGACATTTGGAGTGTAATAAACATCTCCAGGTGTAACACATACACACAAAGCTGGGTATTCGTACAACAGCCAATGCAGGACTCCTGGGCTAGCAACAGGAAGGATGAAGGTTTGCACAATAAATTGTTAATCTGCTTAATGCACACACTTAAGGATGGGGAAAGCCTGTGAAGTTGGCATCCAACCATGCTTCTGTTCTTTTGGGTATTTCAACAAAGAAGATCGAACTCAAGTGCCTTAGCAATTCCAGTGCTGCTATTTCTGGATAACTTCTCTCAAACTCCTGTGCATGGTGGTAAGCTAGCGCCAAGTCAGGACCCTGCTCTGAGCTGATGAACCGAGGGACCCCAAGATCAGAGGCCAGCCTAGATGCGTAAACTGGACCCTCCCTCAAGAATCTCAATGAGGTGGACCTGAGGGTCACTTGGGCTTTGCTGTCAAGGGAAGAATAACTGTGAAGACTGGACATGGGGGATGACGCAGGGAAGGCCAGCCTGTCCCTGGCAGGCTGTCAGACAGCGAGGAGCCAGCCCTACAGCAAGCCGAGTGCCAGACTAAAAGAAGGGTCAAAGAGGAAGGACTGTGTCTAAAACCTCCCAAATGCCCACAAAACCTGGGCTGTCTGGGTGTGTCACATCCAGCTTCAAGAGTAATTTCATCGGAGCCATTTGCAGGTCCTATGAAATCTTAGAGGTGCCAGGACAGAGATACGCTCGGAAGTGTTGCTTGATGACACACAACTCTACAGGCTGGATAAGGACAGAGGTGCTTGGCAAAACCCTGGTAGGAGCTATCGGATATGGAGGGCCGAGGGAGTTCCTTTGAGAGGAATGACACCAGAGAGTAGAGCAGTGACAGGAGCATCACAGACAGTGTCCTGGACCACATTCCTGGTGGGGAAGCAGAAAAATCACATGCTTGCTGTGCACCCGTGTAGACACTTATCAGCCCTCAGGTGCCTCAAAATGAGAGCTGATCACAGTAACACTTTCTGAGTGCGTCCTGTGGGCTGGGCACATTAGGTAGCGCGCAGGTGCCTTGCTGGAATGATCTCATTTACACTTTGTGACACCCCAGGAGGTGTGAGCGCTGCTCTCTCCTTGCTACAGGGCCTTGGTGCACGCCCTTCCCTCTGCCTCGAAAGCAGCTCTCCTCTGCACCCTTGCCTTTCTTCATCTTATTAACTCTGAGTCTTCCTTCACATCTTCGCTTATTAAAAGGATTTGTCCTATGAAATTTAGAATCAGTCAAAAGGCCGCACTCAAGGATCCAGAAGGCTGCATGTGGCTCCAAGGCCACAGGTTCCCCGCCCAACATATTCCTTTTTCTATGGCATAACAATAATGAAACTTCTTAACCAGTACATTGTGCTGCTTGTGCATATATCGTGTTTATGCAAAAATTTATACAATTGTGGCCACTGACACAATCTAATCATTTGAGACATAAGCTTATGCATAAAAGTATAATGATATTCACCAAACACACAAGGTTTTTGCTCAGAATCAAAACAGGTAGTTTGCATACTGAGGTGGTTTAATTATTGAAATTTGTGCTTCTACCACTAATCATTTGAAATTCTATGTTTTGAATGTTTTGGCT